AAAATAGATTTTTATTAACCATATATTATTAAAAATGCATTAATAAATAAAATACAGAACCGGGAATGGTAATTTATGGTTTAGCCTAGTGACAAGTAGATTCGGAGACAAGTAAATTCGACTTACGTCGCCTCTCCTGGAACCAATTACCGACGTAAGGCAAGGTATACCTGTATATTCTTGTTCTTATCAAAGGTTTGAGTTTGAGATCCTATCTTGTTCTTGAAAGTTTTGTTTAAGAAGTAGACTTGGGTGTTCTTTCTTTGTCAAGCAAAAAATTCTTAATTTATGCTAAAATGTGAAATTTTTAAGTATAAATTAACCAAAGATTCTATTAATTCCAAAGATTCCAAAACATCATACAGGAAATCTTCATTAATTCAAACTTGGACAATTCAAAATCTTTTTAGTTCATAACTGTACTATTTGTTCTGGCTGGAGATATAAAAATTTACATGTCAAGAATTTGGTTAGTTCGAAATTTGAAGTGAAAATTCTGTCTGAACTGTTGTAATACGCCTATGTTAACTCATTTGTTTGGATTAAAGTGCCTCCATACTATAAAAGAACAGCTCTAATCTGATCAACGTGGTTTTGCTTTTACAGTAACACATTTTCAGGTGTCACCTTATCCACAGAATACACTTTTTTCTCTTATCTCATAAAATACAGCTTGTTTTTAGGATTGTAAGGTTTGGCTACAAGTAGCAGATTGAGATATTTGAAGGGCTCTATGCTTTACTACATTTGGGCATCTTACTAGTTTTTTGGGCCACTTTCAAAATATTTTGGGCTACATTTTGATGAATTCTGCTTTAATTTTTATAAAACTGATCTGGTGACCTGTGAGGTTCTCACCGGACATGTGCTATTTACCTGCAGTTTATTTACATAATTATTTTTACTTATTAATTAATGAAAATTGCATTAGTAGCCAAATTTCTTTTGCTTAATAAATTACATCAGTTAAATGGCATTTAACGTATTTTTCAGAAATATGTAAATCTCGGATTATTTGAAACTCGATAATTCCAAGTGGTGAATATTTTGTCTCTTGAATTTTGAACTAATGTGGATTTCCTGTACTTCAACATATTTAAATAGAGTTTTATTTAAAGAATATATATTTTAATTTTAACAAATAGTATAATAATCCATTTTATTTTCTTTTGAAATTTTCAAATATTGTTTTATTTTCAACAAGCAATTATATATTGTGACAATGTCGTCATAATACCAGGTTTCAATTTTTAATCATACACTAAATTTATATAATTTACTGTATATGTTTTCCATCTCAAATTAGTAGTATCTTGCCCCTGTACATCATAATCTTCCTGATAACAATAGTGTCACGCCGGTCGTCTATGTAACTCCATTCAGGGAAAAAATTTTGAATTGAATTCACAATTTCTAGTCTAGACGAGAAGTTCATATACAGTTAATCAGGACCACCTGTCCCTAAGCTTTCCACATCTGGTCTCGACTTTCATCTGTCTAACATCGTTCTTGAGATTAAGACAGATGGATGACAATGGGAGTTTATAGATCTATGGTTTTTTTCAAATTACAGTCCTAATAAAGAATTTGAGTTTTATATTCATTTTATACATAACAGGAGGCTGACCTTCAAATAAGGTAAAAACATTTATTTAATTATTATATCCTTGCAGGATTAAAGTACAAGTTGATCTCGTTAATCTGGCATCATTGGGACCACCTGTAGGGTGCCAGATTACTGACGGTTAGGTTAGGATACACTTAACCCAACGGCTAACCAATTGCAAATAAATGAACTTTCTGTATGAAACAACTATGATTTTTGCTTGTTGACTATTAAAAAATTTGTTCCTCTTCATCTGTTTATTAGTTTAACTTAAATTGAATGATACTGACTTAATTAAATAGTTATTATTAAAATATATTGCTATTTAAACATAATTTAACATTAGAGATACATAAAATTAATTTTTGAATTTAATACTTTAAATCTTCAGAAATATTTATATTTTTTTGTAGTACGTATTTGTTGCAGAAAACCTCACTCAATATAACAAAGGCACAACAGTTCATGAGAAATTAGCAAAATATTTGGCGATTACTCTGAGGCCTGCAAACACCGACTTTTTAGTCATTAATAGCTTTTTGAAACATTCCTGGTTCTTCTTTCAACTTTTAACAAAATCAATGGGTCAACATCTGTTAGCATCAGGAAGAATAAAGGTTAAGTTTAAATAAATTTATTATTTTTGTTTTTATTATTTTAAAACAGAAATTTTGATATTAAAGAAAATTTTATAACCAAAAACTAGATGCATCGTCATGAACGATTTCCTGCAGATTATCAGTACCGCATCCAGAGTTTGCTACAAGTCATGGTATCACACATATTTCAGAAATATCAAGAAATTCCACTAGAAACTAAACATGCTAATCAAAGTTTAGCTCATTTTATTAAGGTAATTTTTAAAATTAATTACTACTATTGATTTTTTTGTTATTTATACACAAATAACATCAATTTTTAGAGAAGTTTTACCTACATGGATCGGGGATTTGTTTTTAAATTAATTAATTTCTACTTAGAGAAATACTGTTCGGAAGATATACAGGTAAGAAAACTTTTAATATATCAATACTAAATTATTTATTTTTGAAAATAACTGTAATTGATCATGGTAACTTTTTACAGGTGCTACATGAATATAAGTTTGAATTTCTTGAAATAATTTGTTCTCACGAACATTTTATTGCTTTGAATCTTCCTATTTTGCATAGGACTATAATCAGAGGTCACACAAAAAATATAAAAGGTATTTTTACATTTATTGATCTAATATTGTAATTAAATAGAATCTTTACTTTATATGATTCGTATTAATTACAAGAAATTTTAATCTTTTAAATAATATACACAAAATTATAATTGACAAATCACTGAAAGTTCATAATTATAGATACCATGCATTGAACAGCTTTTACATACATGATTTGATACTTGATACACAAAAAACGACAATTTAACAAGTCTTGCTGTTATATCAGTAGTTTTTTTAATGCAAAAAAGAAAAACATAAATAAATCTCTTATGTATGCTAGGTAATCTAAGTCAGATACAACTTTAAAAACTCATATCTCTGTGAATTTTAATCCTAAATGCAAATGCTTTTGCAGAAATGCTTAGAATAAAGCAAAACAAACAAAAACATATATAGATATTTATTTTTAATTTAAAGAAATAAACTGTAGATTTATAGCAAATAAGGTGTGTGGTAAAAATATAAGGCCACTGCAATATTTTGGAAAATAAATTTTTATCATGCTTAAGCAAAAAACTAGTGACAGAAATAATTATGTAATTACATCATTTTTTTTAATGTTTTCATTGACTGACTATAAGTATAAAGCAGTAACTTTATCAGATATTCTAGCAGACACCACTAGATTACAGTACGTTCTTTATCAAGAGCTTTAATGAAATGGCCTGAAATTTAATTCTGCCTTTAGCATCCTACTTTTTTTTAGTCACTTTTGTGATATTGCAATGCCCTGTCTCATTAAATAGTATTGTTTAGCAGCAGAAATTATGAATAAAATTTACATTAAATGTTTGTATTCCAAAGAAAGTCTCACATCATTCTGAATATTTATATGAAAACTGCATATGTTTAAGATCAGTATTTACTGAGAGAAATTTTTAAACTTGCACCTGACTTGGATTGCCTCTGCATATAATTTTGTGAGAATACAAGATTCCTTACACAAAATGATAATAACTTTTTACATAATTTCTCTAAATAGAATATAAAACCCTTCAAATATTTTGTTCTGTTGACATTTCTAAACTCTAATATTTTTTTCTTTTATTTAAGTTTTTAAGAATATTTCTTATAAATTTGCTACTGATATTTTACAGATAAGTAAATTTATTTAAAATATATTAACATATAAACAATGAATTAAAAAAAAAAGTTCATTAATATTAATAGAATGAAACATTTGAAGAGTTTTTCCATAGCTTCAATTTTTTTAAAAATTAAACTGAATTTTTTATACATACGTTTCTTTACAGTTCTTTAAATATAACTTTCTAACAGTATCATTTAACACAGTAAAAACAGAAATCAAGAGGAATAAGACAAATTCAACAAAATTAAGATTATCAGTAATTTAATATTGATCGCATTATTCATATATTCATTTTGGTTCCTCTTTCCTTTGCTATTTTCTAATTAGTATGGATCCAGTAGACACTTATAAATAATGTTTCACTATTTCACCAATAAAACTCATTTATTAAATTATTTTTAATATTTATTTATTTATTTATTTATCTTTAAATTTAATAAATTATTTTTGCTGCAAACAGACATTTTTGTGTGAGTTTTGAATATTAGTAAATGAGTTTTGTTGGTGAAATAGTGCATCATTGTTTATAAATGTTTGCTGGATCCACACCTGTACTTATTAGAAAATGGCAAAGGAAATAGGAATTAAAATGCCTACCTGATTAATATGGTCAGTATTAAATTAGTGATTTTTTAATTATTTAAAAAAATTATTTCCAATAAAATATAAATATATTTACTAAACTTGATACATTATAATAAATCTACTACAACTACTGTATGAGATCAGGCTAAATAATGGTTATAATAATTATAAATTACAAATGAATTTGATTCTGGATGGAGGCATTAGGCACCATCTCATACTAAATTTAATTAAATAATTTTAGATTAAACTGGAAGTAAAGAATCGGCCCAGAGCTGGACTCAAACCTGCAACTGCCTCTTACTGTGCAGATGAGTTGCCAGTTACACTACCTGAACTGCTGGTCTGATCTTCTCTTCTCATATATTTAACATTACAATATAACCATCATTGATCATTATGGTACCAAATGGAGATGCATTCAGTGCTCTTGTCCTGTAAACTCATATTTTGTATATAGTTTATATTGTAATGTTAAATATACTGGAAGAGGAAATCAGACCAGAGGTCCAGGTAATGTAACTGGCATTGCATTTACACAGTAAGCAGCAGTTGCAGCTTCAAGTCCTGCTCCAGGCTGATTCTTTACATCCAGTTTAATCTAAAATTATTTAATTAAATTATAATTATTGAATTTAATATGAGATGGTGCCTAATGCCTCTTTCTAGAATCAAATTCATTTGTAATTTATAATTATTATAGCCATTATTTAGCTTGATCTCATACAGCAATTTTAGTAGATTTATTTCAAATAATCTTAATTCTAATTAAATAGCAATGCAAAGAGTATTTAATTAGAACTAAGATTGTTTGAAATAATTTTTTGCATTTGTATTTTGTTATGTTACATTTTTTTTTTCTTTCTTTAAAGACTTATCTTTTATATAAATATTCATTAATAATTATGTAAAAGACAAATATCTGAAATTATCAAATATTTTACTTGGCTACAGATAGAAAAATAAAAATTAGATTAGGAAATCATTAATTTTTGTTTATTCTTTCAGATGAACCTATTAACAATTCTAATATATAAAGAATTTGAATTAAAATTATTCTTACTTAGAAATTTTTAATGTGGGTTCCCATCATTTAAAGAGGATTTTATATAAAAAATGAATTGTTTACATTTTATAAGACTATAAAAAGTTTTATTTAAAGAACTGTTTTATGGTTGGTGATGTGGTATATTTTCATTGATACTGTACCATAATCATATTGATTGATTGATAAGTTGAGTTCTGTCTAATGATTTGATGTCATCAGTAAGTATATTTTCGGGAAATTCATTACATCTGTTTCAATATTGTTGTTGATATGTATATAAATATACATATAAATTTAAAAGCAATCAGTCAAAAGAGTTTCATAAAAATCTGGTACAATTTAAGTATAAATTACTGATTATTAATGTAAGATTACAGTTAGTCAAATGGCCACTAAACAAGGTTAACATAGGATAGGTTGGACTCCAATTCAAACACTAATATTCAGTTACAAAACCAATTTGGGACTGGAATAATACAACAATAAACACATCTATCAAAGAGCCTTGAATTTCAGCAAGATTTAATCCAAAATAAAACTTTCGGATTAACACTTTCAATTTATAAATGGAGATCATCTTCAGGTCTGTATATATATATATATATATCCAGTTTCAAGTACTTTATCAATGAATATTGGATCCAAAGATCTCCATTTGTAGAATTCAGTTAAGGCTCTTTGATAAACACGTTTATTGCAAACTCATAATTTGTCATGAGAAATGTGTGCCAGGGTATCATTCCATATTCCTTGCCCGTGCCGGCCAGTTGTGTTATATGGATCTTCCTATAATATATGGAATTGTGGCCGATCACTTAAGCTGACCCTTCACATTTTAACTAATCAATCAATCAGTTTTATATATTTGATCCATTCACTTTGTTTATAGAATTACACTGAGCCTATTACCCAACATTTTATAACTAATAATAATTGTTTATATTAAACCAAGAAAAAAAAACGAATATTTATCTACCACAAAATATATTTTATCTAATTTTTAAGTATAACTTATTGTACTTAACTGTCTTTGATTTATTAAGAATTATAGTTTTAGTTTCTCAGACAATAAAAAATTTTCTACTTTTTTTTGTTTGCTAATTATTAAAATTTTCGTTTATTTAATTAAATTTTTATCATTAAAATTCTGGTTTTATTATTTATCTACTTTTTATTTTTTTTTAACAAAATATTTGAAGATTTAAAATATTTATAAAATTTTTTCTTGGTATAGATTCCAATGATGATATGGCTGGTAAGTGACTGCCCGTGTAAAGTATTGCAGTCATTTTACTCCGTATGTCAAAGGGCTTGCATTACATTTGCATGTATATTGGTTTCTAATAATAATTAATTTTTCATATTCTCTTATGGGGCTTTGGAGCAGTTTCTATACTAAAAAAATTGCAATTTTTGAAAAGTATACTTTGATTGAACATTGATTTGCATGAATTTTAAGGGAAATTTTAACACCTGCTTGGATGGACTGCCTTTTTTTTGCATGTTTAAAAAACTACAACAGTGTGTGTGTGTGGTGTGCGTGTGTGTGTTTTTATATGATATATTTAAGTTATCATACTTTAATATTATTTTTTTAAGTTTTATCATATTTTCCATCCTGTAAGATGCGTTTTTTTTCCAATAATCTATCTCAAAAATTCATTCTGTATCTAATAAGGCAATAGTAACATTGAGTTATGTCCAAGATGTTGCGAATAGTGACTTATAATAAAAATTACATGTTTCAATTTTGTTACAGAAACGCTAGATACTTGATAAAAGATGTCTCTTTGCAGACTCCACATTAGAATTATATTTCTTAGTTTCTCAGAAATGTCGTCCTACTCTTTCCTAAATAATTTTTATGCTCACCAGTAGTCAAGTGGCTAAAACTACCAAACACTGGTAGTTGGTCACGGTTTATGTCTCATCAATGGGCTAGTCACATGGAGTTTTCCAGATTTCCTTCACATTAGTAACACCTAAACAGAGGCCAGTTCCATAGAAAGTCCTCCCAGGATGATGCCCTTCTTGGCACATCATCCATGTGTTGTGTGTCCACATACAATTAAACAAATCCAAGTAATTTTTATTAATTTATGGGTGGCACCTTGTAAGATGGAAAATATGGTAAATAAAACTGAGTGTTTATAAGCCATTTATATACATTTAGATAACTTTTATGATGTCAAATAGTTATTAACAATTTATTTTCTTAATAAATAAAGTTATGTTTGTTTCCTTAATTATATATTCAAAATTTTTACTAAATTGCATATGTTTTTATTTGGAATATTAATAAATTTTGCTCTTATTCTTTCTTTTTTTTAATTGTGCAGTTTTTACGATTTCTGTGTATATTTTTATAATGCAAACATTTTTCTGTTAACTCAGATTACGAACAGGAATATTGGCTTTCAGAACAATTTTGTCAACATCACTTTTTAATCGGAATTCTGCTGCAAGAAATCAAAGCGTCCATGATGGATCCTCACATAAGAAAAATTGCCATTTCGGTCCTTTGCAATTTATTAGCCAAACATTCTTTTGACGATCGATACCAAGGAAGGGTAATCTGCATATTTTGTATTATTTTAATATGAATTTAAAGTTCAAAATTTTCTTGTATTTGTTATAATGAAAAAATTTATTAAAAAAAAGTGAGTGAGAATATAAATTATAATTACTTTTAGTGTACTTATTGGTTTTTACTGCATACACAGACCGCAGTATTTAATTGTATAATGTTTAAAGGGCATGTAATGTTTATTTTCTTACTAAGTAAAAATTACAAACTGTTTCTTATGTATTGTTCTGAAGCTGGAACACTTTAACAATAAACAACACAATACCTTCCATTATTTTTTTGCTGGAAAGCATGTGGAAGGTATTGAGTTGTTTATTGTTTCCTATATTTTTATAATAACTTGGTTCACTTAATTGCAAAATATGTAAATGCGCATGAACATGATATTTTATTGTATATTACACAACTGAATCCAGTTAAAAAGTTTTTTACAACAATAATGGCTTCGTAATGGCTTATCGAATAGTCTTTCAGAATCAAAATATGTTTTTTTTTTTTTCTGTTTTACTTTATTTAGCATATCATTTGTGCATTTAATTTTTCTTCTATGCATGTGGTTGATTTTAAAAGTATTAACTAGTTAACAATTTAGTAACAGTCTCATTTTTCTGTGTTATCTGCAAGTGCACTGTTGGTGATATGTTAATTCAAAGCTGTTATTTCTGTAAGGTCTGAACCCACAATTACATGTAGTAAAGGCAATTTTTTTGCTAGCATTTTTCACCAAGTTGACTTGACTTATTTAGCTGTTTTTACATGATATCCTTATGCTATGTGTAGCTCATAGTAACTGTGTAAAAATTTCAGTCAAAAAAGGGTTTTCTGGGCTTATCACAGGCCCTCAAAAAACTGTTGCGGTAGATTGCTGCCTTAAGCATGCAATTGTATACAGTTTTTTTTTTATTGTCACACATTTGCAAGCATAACATGGTAATTTTCCACTATTTTTGCTTTTTGCCTTTGTAAAAGCAAAAATCCTTTTTTTGATTTGTTTCAGTTAGTAAAAACAAGTACTAATATAGGTCATAGGTCTATAGGTAAAAGTGAAGTGGCATAAAGTGAGCTTTCATAAAGCAGGAAATACATGTACACTTTGAATTTTGTATAGAAATCAATCAATAAACCGCTGATGATATTTTAAAATAATATATTAAAAAATGATATAGTATATAATTTTCTTTTATCAGTAATTAACTGATTAGCTCTTAACATCATGAAGCCATTTGAATGGCTCATAAAGTTAAGAGTAATCCTAACTGTGTATCCAAATGGCTACACAGTTAAGATGTCAGGCTTAAAATTTGATCTAGATTTAAACTCTACAATTTATTATTTATCAGTTTGACCCAAGACAATACTTTTATATTTGTTTTTGTGATTTAATTTGAATTTATTTATATGTGGATTAAATTATAGCTTGATAGCTTTTTTAATTATTTAAATGCTTTCGTCAATTGAAATATCATACCATTTTTTTTTTAGCCACAACAAGCTCGTGTTGCCTCACTTTATCTTCCACTTATTCCGATAATAATGGATAATACAAAATTACTCGATACCGGTGAGATTGCGTCTCCTTCCATGCACAAATTGAATGGAGTCGACGAATTATTTTCTGAAGTTGTTCCGAGTACTTCGTCATACGTTTCCACGCCAGTTTCCAAAAGTAACACTCTGACTGCCGAACCTTTAATTCTGCCTACGATCAGTGGAAGGACTAACAGAGATTCAACTTACTTTACATTTATTTCTGGACAAGGTAAATTAAAGGTTAATTATTAATCACGTTATTTGGAGTAAATATTTACAAGTGAACACAGTTTGGGCATATTTTCAGACTAATATTTACTTTCAGAAAACTAGAGTTGAATTATTCTCATATCTGAAACTGTATTCACAAATTTTAGTTCCTGAAGATGCATGTTAATCCAAAATTTATGTTTGTTTACAATTATTCTAAATAAAATAAGAGTTATTTTGAAATAGTTTTGGAGTATAACATGAATAAATTTCTGCAATTTGACATTATAACGTTGATGTGTCTGGGAGCAAAGATAAGATTGAAAATCTGTGTAGCATAATTGGTAACATTCCCATTCCATATATGAGTTTCAGATTTAAGTCTTACGCTGGGTAAATCTTTTTCTTTTAATTTTTTAAATTATTTAATTAAATTCAAAAGATTTATCTCTAATTATTAATATTTGTATAATAGTAACATTCCCACTTATCTTTAGACAAAATTTGATAGCAATCAATTAATAATTACCGTAAAAATAATTAAAACTAGACAATCTGTCGAATTATTGTACTATAATAAGGCTAAGTTAATAATTAAGTATATAGTAATTTGTCTAGAGGTACTATATACCTAATTCGGCAATCTTTTAACTATGTCATTATTTAAAATGGTAAATTATGATTATTGTTAAGTAGTTAAGCATTAAGCCACTATTCTGTAATAATTTTAATTTAGAATTTCTGGAAGAAAAAAATCAGCCAGAGCAGGATTCAAACTGGCAACTTCTGCATGCCGTGCAGATGCATTGCAAGTTATGTTATCTGGACTCCATCCAATCTCTGCTTCCAGAGCATTAATTTTGATATAAACATACAGGTTATGTTTAAACTTATATGTGGTAATATGATTCAAACTTNCAATCAAAAAAAAAATAATGGTTGGACCATCAAAAATTTGGCAATTTACAACACGATGTGGAATGCACAAATTCGTTTATTTATAACTAAAAACATTCTCGAAATTTCATTGTTAAAAAAATGCATTTGTGACAATACCTAAATTCTTACGCAAGAAATAAAAATTGTATAATTATCATTATTATCATGTCAGTGAAGCAGCAATAAAATATTTACTACCATTTTGCACAACATACCTCTGCGAGAGCGGATTTTCGGGCATGACAAACGTGAAAACTAAACGTCGTCACCGACTTCAACTCGAAGATGACTCGAGACTGTAGCTGACCAAAAAGCAACCAGATTTTACAAAGTTGTGCAAAGAAAATCGTGCACATTTGTCACGTTAAAATTAAATAACCTTATGTTATTTTCATTATTACTGTATTAGAATTGTATTTTAAAGGTAATAAATGTAAAAAAAAACTTATTCTATTTATCACTTGCTGTCTACCCACAGCTTCGCCCGCATTATATCGAATTTTCTCGCAGTAAAATGTAGCCTATGTCCATCTCCAACATGTAAGCTATCTCTGTGCCAAATTTTATTAAAACCTGTTTAGCGGTTTAGACGTGAAAAGGTAACAGACAGACAGGCAGACAGAATTACCTTCGAATTTATAATAATAGTATGGATTAATATGAATTTCTGCTATAAGGGGTACGCGAGTTTGAGCTCTTTCTTGAAGTGGTACGCAGGAAAAACTAATTGGGAACCACTGCAGTAGACAGCCTCCCAATTTTCTGGCATATCTTCCAGTATGATTGCCTGTGTGTTTCCATATATGTGAAAATGTTAGTCATATTGTACATCCTGTTCTTCTATACAGTCGACCCCCCCATAACACTTTTGATTTTTCCATTTTATATGAATTCCATGTTGTACGAGTCACTTAGATTTTACAAATACGTGTACCGGGCTGTGAACAGCTCACGTATTTGTAAAATCTAAGTGACTCGTACAACATGGAATTCATATAAAATGGAAAAATCAAAAGTGTTATAGGGGGTTGACTGTACTTAGGTTTCATTTTGATGCACCACATTACTCACCCATCTGCTCTAAAAAAATCTATGCCAAAGGACTGGTCATGTCATTCAATGCCTTTAGGCCTATACATACTCATTAATTTAGCATCCTTCTGTACAAGGAATGGACAGACTAGTGAGAGTATACTGTACCACATTTAGTGAGTCGAGACAATTTTAAGATATACCGCATGTTTGAAATTTAATTTCAAGATTTCTTTTTTTGGAGGAAAGTTTTTAAATAATCAATTTTATTAAATTTTGTTAATTAACGTCAAATTAGAAAAATAACAGAAATGCCATGACACAGGTAATGCTCGGTAGCTCTATTTACATGCTTTTCCACATATGCGTTAGTTATTCGTTGTAATCCAGCATCATAATGTCATCTTGAATGCTTCTTAAAATGTAAAAAGATGTTTAAAAGCTAATTTTCAACATAGCTTATTTAAGTGATGTGACATGAACGTTAAACATTATTGCCGAAAATCCAAATTGATACAATCGCAGTGACTGTTGATAGTTGTTGTTGGACCACAAGTGTAAGATGCCATCAATTTAAAATGTATATCTAGTTTGGACAATAAGAAATGGGTGAAAAGTGCATCTTAGAATCGAGGAAATACGGTACTTTTATTACAAATAATCAAGCATTTTTACTTTGAACTACTCGAGTGTCTTCAGATGTGTTAAATACAGAAAATGTTTTAAAAAATGTATACAGATATGTTTTTTACACAAATTTAAACTCATATAGATCAAGCAAAAATGTATTCTTATTTACAATTAAAAACTACTTTCTTCGTAACATTGTCAAAAGTGATAAATTTCTTGGAAACGAATACGTTTTGATCTGTGTCTAGTTTATTATTAAACAAACATGATGTGTTTTTAGTTTTGACTGATAAAAACAATAATTAATAAATTNTCTCATTAAATTCAATAATTATAATTTAATTAAATAATTTTAGATTAAACTGGATGTAAAGAATCAGCCTGGAGCAGGACTTGAAGCTGCAACTGCTGCTTACTGTGTAAATGCAATGCCAGTTACATTACCTGGACCTCTGGTCTGATTTCCTCTTCCAGTATATTTAACATTACAATATAAACTATATACAAAATATGAGTTTACAGGACAAGAGCACTGAATGCATCTCCATTTGGTACCATAATGATCAATGATGGTTATATTGTAATGTTAAATATATGAGAAGAGAAGATCAGACCAGCAGTTCAGGTAGTGTAACTGGCAACTCATCTGCACAGTAAGAGGCAGTTGCAGGTTTGAGTCCAGCTCTGGGCCGATTCTTTACTTCCAGTTTAATCTAAAATTATTTAATTAAATTTAGTATGAGATGGTGCCTAATGCCTCCATCCAGAATCAAATTCATTTGTAATTTATAATTATTATAACCATTATTTAGCCTGATCTCATACAGCAATTTTAGTAGATTTATTTCTATAATTATTAAATTTAATATGAGATGGTGCCTAATGCCTCTTTCTAGAATCAAATTCATTTGTAATTTATAATTATTATAGCCATTATTTAGCTTGATCTCATACAGCAATTTTAGTAGATTTATTTCAAATAATCTTAATTCTAATTAAATAGCAATGCAAAGAGTATTTAATTAGAACTAAGATTGTTTGAAATAATTTTTTGCATTTGTATTTTGTTATGTTACATTTTTTTTTTCTTTCTTTAAAGACTTATCTTTTATATAAATATTCATTAATAATTATGTAAAAGACAAATATCTGAAATTATCAAATATTTTACTTGGCTACAGATAGAAAAATAAAAATTAGATTAGGAAATCATTAATTTTTGTTTATTCTTTCAGATGAACCTATTAACAATTCTAATATATAAAGAATTTGAATTAAAATTATTCTTACTTAGAAATTTTTAATGTGGGTTCCCATCATTTAAAGAGGATTTTATATAAAAAATGAATTGTTTACATTTTATAAGACTATAAAAAGTTTTATTTAAAGAACTGTTTTATGGTTGGTGATGTGGTATATTTTCATTGATACTGTACCATAATCATATTGATTGATTGATAAGTTGAGTTCTGTCTAATGATTTGATGTCATCAGTAAGTATATTTTCGGGAAATTCATTACATCTGTTTCAATATTGTTGTTGATATGTATATAAATATACATATAAATTTAAAAGCAATCAGTCAAAAGAGTTTCATAAAAATCTGGTACAATTTAAGTATAAATTACTGATTATTAATGTAAGATTACAGTTAGTCAAATGGCCACTAAACAAGGTTAACATAGGATAGGTTGGACTCCAATTCAAACACTAATATTCAGTTACAAAACCAATTTGGGACTGGAATAATACAACAATAAACACATCTATCAAAGAGCCTTGAATTTCAGCAAGATTTAATCCAAAATAAAACTTTCGGATTAACACTTTCAATTTATAAATGGAGATCATCTTCAGGTCTGTATATATATATATATATATCCAGTTTCAAGTACTTTATCAATGAATATTGGATCCAAAGATCTCCATTTGTAGAATTCAGTTAAGGCTCTTTGATAAACACGTTTATTGCAAACTCATAATTTGTCATGAGAAATGTGTGCCAGGGTATCATTCCATATTCCTTGCCCGTGCCGGCCAGTTGTGTTATATGGATCTTCCTATAATATATGGAATTGTGGCCGATCACTTAAGCTGACCCTTCACATTTTAACTAATCAATCAATCAGTTTTATATATTTGATCCATTCACTTTGTTTATAGAATTACACTGAGCCTATTACCCAACATTTTATAACTAATAATAATTGTTTATATTAAACCAAGAAAAAAAAACGAATATTTATCTACCACAAAATATATTTTATCTAATTTTTAAGTATAACTTATTGTACTTAACTGTCTTTGATTTATTAAGAATTATAGTTTTAGTTTCTCAGACAATAAAAAATTTTCTACTTTTTTTTGTTTGCTAATTATTAAAATTTTCGTTTATTTAATTAAATTTTTATCATTAAAATTCTGGTTTTATTATTTATCTACTTTTTATTTTTTTTTAACAAAATATTTGAAGATTTAAAATATTTATAAAATTTTTTCTTGGTATAGATTCCAATGATGATATGGCTGGTAAGTGACTGCCCGTGTAAAGTATTGCAGTCATTTTACTCCGTATGTCAAAGGGCTTGCATTACATTTGCATGTATATTGGTTTCTAATAATAATTAATTTTTCATATTCTCTTATGGGGCTTTGGAGCAGTTTCTATACTAAAAAAATTGCAATTTTTGAAAAGTATACTTTGATTGAACATTGATTTGCATGAATTTTAAGGGAAATTTTAACACCTGCTTGGATGGACTGCCTTTTTTTTGCATGTTTAAAAAACTACAACAGTGTGTGTGTGTGGTGTGCGTGTGTGTGTTTTTATATGATATATTTAAGTTATCATACTTTAATATTATTTTTTTAAGTTTTATCATATTTTCCATCCTGTAAGATGCGTTTTTTTTCCAATAATCTATCTCAAAAATTCATTCTGTATCTAATAAGGCAATAGTAACATTGAGTTATGTCCAAGATGTTGCGAATAGTGACTTATAATAAAAATTACATGTTTCAATTTTGTTACAGAAACGCTAGATACTTGATAAAAGATGTCTCTTTGCAGACTCCACATTAGAATTATATTTCTTAGTTTCTCAGAAATGTCGTCCTACTCTTTCCTAAATAATTTTTATGCTCACCAGTAGTCAAGTGGCTAAAACTACCAAACACTGGTAGTTGGTCACGGTTTATGTCTCATCAATGGGCTAGTCACATGGAGTTTTCCAGATTTCCTTCACATTAGTAACACCTAAACAGAGGCCAGTTCCATAGAAAGTCCTCCCAGGATGATGCCCTTCTTGGCACATCATCCATGTGTTGTGTGTCCACATACAATTAAACAAATCCAAGTAATTTTTACTAATTTATGGGTGGCACCTTGTAAGATGGAAAATATGGTAAATAAAACTGAGTGTTTATAAGCCATTTATATACATTTAGATAACTTTTATGATGTCAAATAGTTATTAACAATTTATTTTCTTAATAAATAAAGTTATGTTTGTTTCCTTAATTGTATATTCAAAATTTTTACTAAATTGCATATGTTTTTATTTGGAATATTAATAAATTTTGCTCTTATTCTTTCTTTTTTTTAATTGTGCAGTTTTTACGATTTCTGTGTATATTTTTATAATGCAAACATTTTTCTGTTAACTCAGATTACGAACAGGAATATTGGCTTTCAGAACAATTTTGTCAACATCACTTTTTAATCGGAATTCTGCTGCAAGAAATCAAAGCGTCCATGATGGATCCTCACATAAGAAAAATTGCCATTTCGGTCCTTTGCAATTTATTAGCCAAACATTCTTTTGACGATCGATACCAAGGAAGGGTAATCTGCATATTTTGTATTATTTTAATATGAATTTAAAGTTCAAAATTTTCTTGTATTTGTTATAATGAAAAAATTTATTAAAAAAAAGTGAGTGAGAATATAAATTATAATTACTTTTAGTGTACTTATTGGTTTTTACTGCATACACAGACCGCAGTATTTAATTGTATAATGTTTAAAGGGCATGTAATGTTTATTTTCTTACTAAGTAAAAATTACAAACTGTTTCTTATGTATTGTTCTGAAGCTGGAACACTTTAACAATAAACAACACAATACCTTCCATTATTTTTTTGCTGGAAAGCATGTGGAAGGTATTGAGTTGTTTATTGTTTCCTATATTTTTATAATAACTTGGTTCACTTAATTGCAAAATATGTAAATGCGCATGAACATGATATTTTATTGTATATTACACAACTGAATCCAGTTAAAAAGTTTTTTACAACAATAATGGCTTCGTAATGGCTTATCGAATAGTCTTTCAGAATCAAAATATGTTTTTTTTTTTTTCTGTTTTACTTTATTTAGCATATCATTTGTGCATTTAATTTTTCTTCTATGCATGTGGTTGATTTTAAAAGTATTAACTAGTTAACAATTTAGTAACAGTCTCATTTTTCTGTGTTATCTGCAAGTGCACTGTTGGTGATATGTTAATTCAAAGCTGTTATTTCTGTAAGGTCTGAACCCACAATTACATGTAGTAAAGGCAATTTTTTTGCTAGCATTTTTCACCAAGTTGACTTGACTTATTTAGCTGTTTTTACATGATATCCTTATGCTATGTGTAGCTCATAGTAACTGTGTAAAAATTTCAGTCAAAAAAGGGTTTTCTGGGCTTATCACAGGCCCTCAAAAAACTGTTGCGGTAGATTGCTGCCTTAAGCATGCAATTGTATACAGTTTTTTTTTTATTGTCACACATTTGCAAGCATAACATGGTAATTTTCCACTATTTTTGCTTTTTGCCTTTGTAAAAGCAAAAATCCTTTTTTTGATTTGTTTCAGTTAGTAAAAACAAGTACTAATATAGGTCATAGGTCTATAGGTAAAAGTGAAGTGGCATAAAGTGAGCTTTCATAAAGCAGGAAATACATGTACACTTTGAATTTTGTATAGAAATCAATCAATAAACCACTGATGATATTTTAAAATAATATATTAAAAAATGATATAGTATATAATTTTCTTTTATCAGTAATTAACTGATTAGCTCTTAACATCATGAAGCCATTTGAATGGCTCATAAAGTTAAGAGTAATCCTAACTGTGTATCTAAATGGCTACACAGTTAAGATGTCAGGCTTAAAATTTGATCTAGATTTAAACTCTACAATTTATTATTTATCAGTTTGACCCAAGACAATACTTTTATATTTGTTTTTGTGATTTAATTTGAATTTATTTATATGTGGATTAAATTATAGCTTGATAGCTTTTTTAATTATTTAAATGCTTTCGTCAATTGAAATATCATACCATTTTTTTTTTAGCCACAACAAGCTCGTGTTGCCTCACTTTATCTTCCACTTATTCCGATAATAATGGATAATACAAAATTACTCGATACCGGTGAGATTGCGTCTCCTTCCATGCACAAATTGAATGGAGTCGACGAATTATTTTCTGAAGTTGTTCCGAGTACTTCGTCATACGTTTCCACGCCAGTTTCCAAAAGTAACACTCTGACTGCCGAACCTTTAATTCTGCCTACGATCAGTGGAAGGACTAACAGAGATTCAACTTACTTTACATTTATTTCTGGACAAGGTAAATTAAAGGTTAATTATTAATCACGTTATTTGGAGTAAATATTTACAAGTGAACACAGTTTGGGCATATTTTCAGACTAATATTTACTTTCAGAAAACTAGAGTTGAATTATTCTCATATCTGAAACTGTATTCACAAATTTTAGTTCCTGAAGATGCATGTTAATCCAAAATTTATGTTTGTTTACAATTATTCTAAATAAAATAAGAGTTATTTTGAAATAGTTTTGGAGTATAACATGAATAAATTTCTGCAATTTGACATTATAACGTTGATGTGTCTGGGAGCAAAGATAAGATTGAAAATCTGTGTAGCATAATTGGTAACATTCCCATTCCATATATGAGTTTCAGATTTAAGTCTTACGCTGGGTAAATCTTTTTCTTTTAATTTTTTAAATTATTTAATTAAATTCAAAAGATTTATCTCTAATTATTAATATTTGTATAATAGTAACATTCCCACTTATCTTTAGACAAAATTTGATAGCAATCAATTAATAATTACCGTAAAAATAATTAAAACTAGACAATCTGTCGAATTATTGTACTATAATAAGGCTAAGTTAATAATTAGGTATATAGTAATTTGTCTAGAGGTACTATATACCTAATTCGGCAATCTTTTAACTATGTCATTATTTAAAATGGTAAATTATGATTATTGTTAAGTAGTTAAGCATTAAGCCACTATTCTGTAATAATTTTAATTTAGAATTTCTGGAAGAAAAAAATCAGCCAGAGCAGGATTCAAACTGGCAACTTCTGCATGCCGTGCAGATGCATTGCAAGTTATGTTATCTGGACTCCATCCAATCTCTGCTTCCAGAGCATTAATTTTGATATAAACATACAGGTTATGTTTAAACTTATATGTGGTAATATGATTCAAACTTTGACTTGTAATAGGGTGCACTGAGTGAGTCAGTGCATCCTTGTAAGGCTACAAGAATGCACTGACTCACTCACTCACTAACATGCAATGTTTGAGCGGAGCAAACTTCTTACAGAAAAATGAAAGAGTGCATTTGAATGAAGATGTTATAAAAATTGAGGTCAAATATTTTAGGCTCTGAAAGATGTGAAAGTTTAATCCTCAACTCTTTATGGAATGTTGCAACATTTGCAAGACAGTTAATTTAAGCAACATCTGCCTGTTTTCAATTTTTTTTTATTTGATTTTTAAAATATTTATGACTATTTAATTAAAAAATATATAAAATTTGTACAACTGACATTGTTTAAAAGATAATTAAAAATATAAGCACAGATATAAGAACATTATGAAGTGACGCAAACGTCAGAGAAGAGTCCTTAGTATATCATTTATTTGGCATTGCTTTAAATTGTATTTATTATTGAAAGTTATTTACAGTTTGGTAATTTAATGTTTTTTTTTTTTTTTAAGGTTTAACTAATAAGCCAAGTATAAATGGATCGCATGGTTCACTAGATAGTGCATCGTCCACTCCATCAACAGTTTCGGATAGAGGCCAAGATTACGGAGTTGCTTCGAAAGAAAAACTTGACAGATTTAAAGTACAGTACAGTGGTCTTGGAGGACACATGAGGTAACTACAAAATAAATTTATTTGCTTTCTTTCTATCAAGATAATTTTCTTTTAAACCGAAGTAAACATTCTTAAAATTCTACTTTAGATCACAGTCATTTCCTTTCGGAAGCAATGTGGGTCTGTCACGATTAGATAAAATCGATTCTTCCGAAATTAAACATCTGCTTGTATGCTTTCTTTATATAATTAAAAATGTAAACGAAGGTAGGTTTTAATCATAATTTACCATTTTAAATAAAATTAAAATTAAAAGATCACAAAATTAAATATGGTTAATTATAAATAAATGAAATTTTTACAGAATTAATAATTGGTTGGTGGCAGCATTGCAGCGAATCAGATGTTCTTAATTTTTTTCATATTTTAGAGTAAGCATTTTTTGTTTTTTTTTTAATTTACAAATAAATAAAGAAATAAACATTTTAAAAATATTTGAACTTTTCTTCGTTAGAATTTGTTTACATCAATTCAAATATGTCGGAAAGAAACATATCAGGTAATAAATTATTTTGTAAATTTCTTTATTTATATATTTTTTAAAATAAAAATCTGAAAATATTTTGTAGAAATCAAAATATGAAAAAGTCGACAAGTAAAGCTATGACTCTTCCTGCACGAACTGTTCCAGTTTGGATACCACAACAGGGCAACAATACTTTCAGTGAAACACATTCCATAAGTAAATATTTATCTTTATATATATTTATTCTTCTTACAAGGAATCTCTACCAAAATTTGTTAAGAACAAATGGCTATAAAATATTATAATTACAAAATATCATTAAGATTTATCATCGTCTGTCTAGTACAAATTCTATACTAATTTTATGACATTTTTAATCCAAATAGAATTATGGGAAGACTGTTAAAATTCCCATGACTGCCAGACTTGTTTACTTAATGGACATGGATGGCTTTCTGTTTAGAACACATTGTCTAATTGACAATCTCTCTAACTCTATCTAACTCTATGTTTTATTTCATGTTACTTACATCAACTTTGGCTTCTAAAATGAAAGATATAAATGCTAGTAGTATCAAACTACTAGCATTCAACATCAATCTGCACTTAACATATAAATAATTTAAATTTATAACTATCTTTAGATCTTTGACAATGAAAACATATAATTAGTAATATGGAATGTACTGTTGAGTTATTGCTATTCAGTGGTTGATCTGTATTACCATTTACCCTTCTGAAATATGCTACAATATTTGAAATGGAAAACTTTGTTCAGAAAAACTAAACAATGAATGTGCAGTTAAAGAATGAAATAACCGCTGTCTATCAGCGTTAAACGATTTTTAGTTGTAACATCACCACAAACACTTTTGGCATTTTATAAACATCATCTCAGGCAAAGGAAAAAACATAATTTGGGAATGTAATTGTTTCTAAATTATGTTCTGTGAATGTGGTAATGTTACAAATATAAATCATTTAATGCTGATATTTTATTTTTTAATTGGATAACATTTTGGTGTAGATAACCAGTCATTATTTTTAAATAATGATTATGCTTTTGAATCTACTGTAAGTCTACAGACGCATTTGTTGCTCAGTAACATACAAGTGCAAGTATTTTCTTTATATTCGAGAAGTTTTTTAGTTATAGAAATTATTTACTATAACAACAGTGAGATTGTCTTATATGATACTGTACTTTTAATTTAAGTATGTTAAAATTATTGCTGTGGATAATTAAACAAACAATAATTTTATCTGTAGACTTTATGACAGTGTGTTTACTCTTCGTTTCCTCCATATTTCGTACTTTCGAATGTTACACATGCATGTATTTTGGAAAAGCAAGCACTAATATTAGACAGATGACAATAAATTTTACTGATATATTGATTGGAATGGCAGTATTTTATCGCAATTTATTCTTAATAAACTGACACGCATTCCTTGTTAGGTATCGAATTAACTTGAAATAACATTGTGTATTTATGTAAAAGTGCAATCATTTTTATTTCTAGGTCCGACTTCAGAATCGGACAATTTGTATCGAGCTCTCTTAGAGGCAAACATGGCGACGGAAGTTGGACTTATAGCTCTTGACGTTTTGGGCTTATATTGTTTTCATTTTAAGGAAAATTTGCTTCAGAATGACGGAGATAATATTATCATGCAGAAAATTTTTGAAATATATTTGTCATTTTTGCAAGTCGGACAGTCTGAAATATTACTGAAACATTTGTTTGCATCTTTGCGTGCATTTATTAATAAGGTAAAAAATAAAAATACAAATGTTAAGATTTTAGATGATTTAACATTATAATCTTTAACCATTATTTTTTTTCCCCCCAGTTTCCAATGGCCTTATTTAAAGGTAGTGATTTATTATGTGGTAAACTATGTTTTGAAGTAAGTTTAAATTTATATTTATTATGTATAAAATATCAAACGTTATAAGATTTTAAATTGACATAAGATTTATTTAAAATTGATCTTTAGCTGTTAAGATGTTGTAATTCTAAATTATCGACCGTGCGAAATGAAGCTTGTGCGCTCTTGTATTTATTAATGAGGAGTAATTTTGAATTCACTGGACGTAGAAGTCTAACAAGGGTACACTTACAAGTAAGCATTTTCTCAAAATTGTTTAATTTGAATATAGTAGATTCCTGCTTTATGACCACTGTACAGTCCTCTGTTTTTACAAATGACATGCATTTTCTGTTGTGGCTGTATAAAATGTCATATTTAAGAGATTGTCTATAGCTATATAATATATTGTTAAATCTGTATTTTTAAGAATAGAATCTTATTTTATGATGGTGAATCTGTGAATATGACAATTTATTTAATGACAGTCTTTCAGGAACCAATTAAGTCACGAAAGCTGGGATCTACTGTATTAAATTGACATAAATTAAACATTGTTTAAAGATTATTGTTTTTGATTTTTAAATAATTTATTCACTTAGCTCAGTTCTTTCTCTTATGAATATAGAATATTTTAATATATTTAAAAAAATTAAAATTAATTTATTATTTTTGTCATTAAATGTTTAACATAATTAAACATTAATTATTAATTATGTTTAATAAAACATATTTAACATATAATTTAATTATATGTAACATAACAAACACAGTTTAACGTTATATTAAATTATAAGTTATATTTAAAACTTTTTAATGAAATACACATAATATTGTTGTCATAAGATTTAGAGGTAAATATATCTTTTCATACCATCATCTTTTGGTCTATAAGCATTATTCACACACACAAAACTTCTGAATGATCCCAATATATCGAATCCAAGCCTTTTTAATATCATTCTGAAGATTATTAATTTTCACTATAATACTGTTAAAGCTCTAACTTAATGAATATAAGACGTTAATGAAACAGATATCAGATTTTTGGCTTATTTGTTTCTATGGAGTGATGCTTTGTCAAGATAATTTATCTTTGTGTGATGAGTCATCCTAAACACTGAAGTGAACACTAGTTATATTTTCTCTGAATAGTCGGGAACTTACGATGAGTCACAATATACTTGTTTGTAATATCTTTTCCAGAACATACAGCTCTTTAAATCTTACAAGTACAATTGAAATGTAACTTGTAGCATTTAAAATTCAAATATTTTTCATTTACACAGTTTAAAGAGAATAGAATATTTAAAACTTTATTTTTTAATCGTGAAAATTTCTTAAAAAATTATTTACAATATTCTATTAAGTTAAGTCTGTTAAGTCGGCATTGGAGATATTTTGAATAATTTTTAATTTATATTTTAGCTGATTGTTGCCGTATCTCAACTTCTTGGAGACGTCGTAGGACTGAACAGTTCGCAGTTCCAAGAAAGTTTATCTATAATTAATAATTACAGTAATAGCGATAAAGCAATGCAACATTCCGGTAAAAAATTTTATTCTTATTTTACAGAAATTTATAATTAATGTGTAATTTAGAGTAAATTTCTTTTATGTATAAGCTTTCCCGTCTCAAGTTAAAGATTTAACCAAACGTATACGCACGGTATTAATGGCTACCGTACAAATGAAAGAACACGAAAATGATCCGGAAATGTTTATCGATTTGCAGCATCAGTTGGCCAATAGTTATTCGGCCACTCCCGCTCTTCGGAAAACGTGGCTGGAAAGCATGGCTCGAAATCACATCAAGAATGCCGATTACTCCGAAGTATATTAAGTTCTTTATTTTTATTATAGCATAATTATAAGAAATAAGATCGATTTTCATGTAATATGTTATTTTAAGTCTAAAAGAATATTATATACTTTAGTTTCCACTTTTGTGACTTAATTAATTCCTATAAAACTATTGTTAAATAACTCATTTTATTTTCTGTAGACTTGATGTCATAAATTGAAGTTTTATTCCTTAAAATGGTTTTAACAATACAATATCTCACAGAAAGGTTAACAAAAGTAGAGGATTTCATAGTCATAATGAAAAATTCATACTTACAACTGGTATAACATAGTTTGGCATACTGGTATAACATATTCTTTCATATTTATGTGATTGATAACTGAGAAATTGATCTCATTAATAAACAAATGACAGCTATAATATTTATTTTGCTGTATAAATCAGGTGTGGCCAAACTTTTATCCCTTAGGGGCTACTTTTTTGGTAAAATATAGTCTGCGGGCGACTATGAATATGGGCAAACAATTTTAGAAGTTTTATATGCGCATGCGTTAACATTCATTTGCATTGTTCATTGGGATAAATACAAACAGTATGGGTACGTTGCACAGACAGTCTATTATTGTAAGAATAAATTATTGAATTAAGATTTTTAAACATTAATTTAAGTGAAAGCAAATTGTTCAACTTTAGCTTCGCGGGCTACTTTTAAAACCTTTGTGGTCGACTGCGATCTACGTGTTGGCCATCCCTGGTATAAATTATACTTGAAAAAATAAATATGTTTAGTCCCAGTTAGAATACAAAGCTATATCTTTCTAAATGTTTCCAATCAAAGAGACTATCTTCATCTATTTGTCTTTTAATTTTATCCTAGAAATAGTTACCTTTATTTAAAAATGATTTACAGTGGATACTACTTATTAAAATCGTGTTTATTGTTATTGGTCTCTTCTTGTAATCAGTTTTCAAACTCCCAAGATATTCATGCATTTTTTATACAAAATTCATTGCTTAATGTAATCAGTTTATGATCACATTAAACAAATAATCATAAGAAACTACATATTGGTGATACCAGCAATTTCAGACAACTGTATGCAGTCTTCCACACTTATGTCCTGTTGTCTGCTTCAGTCGTTCTCCTCTCCAAAGAGTGCACAACCAGACAAAACGTGGGAAAAATCTGGAAATGTAGATCAGTAGCAGTTTGGAGGCTATTATTTCAAGATTATTCAAGATCACCATGCTATACATTCATCAGACAATTCCTGTACATGCATACATGCTTAGAATGGTATGTTTATGGTATGAAAGAAGCTCCAGCTTTACACCACTGTACAGTATGCTCCAAAATATATAATACTGAAACTCACATGGTGACAACAAGATAATATTGTTAATCTTTTCATTTCAGTATTGTATTGTATTTTGGCACATACTGTATTTTACAAAAGGTAAGTTGATTTCAACACTTCTCAAGATCTATTTATTGTACTGTATCCATTTCAATCTTTATGTCATGGATAAAGTGCACGACAAGAAGACATAATGAAATGTCTTTGAAGGACAAATTAAAGATTTTATAATGTTAAGACAACCTTCCAAAAATGATTAAAAGAAAGTCTGTAGACAAATTGAAAATCTAACAGTGTTCATTGTGTTTGCTTATGAAGAACATAAAACAATTTTGAAAAAGCAGCACGTAATGAGAATGATGAAATTGAAAGGCATTGTTTTGAAAAATATTAGGAGACAAAACAGTTTTTAAGTTATGGTTTATGGAAGTACGAGAGAAAGATGTGATGACTAATAGTCTACTCGTTTGTTAGAAAGCCAAAGAATTTGCTTTAAAATAATGGGGAAAGAAAATTTTACTGTAACTGATGGATAGTTTTCTTGCAGGAAAAATATGAAAACATCGTTTACAAGTGACATGTGAAGAAGAAAAAGATGCAGATTTCTCTTCAGAAAAATGGTCTAAACTCTCTTCTGAATTTTCATCTTGCAATGTTTATAGTGCCGATGAAACCGACCTCTATTTCTATGCTATGCCTGAACACATTACTTGTTCGAAAATGAACAAGCATGAAGCTGCAAGACTTATAAAGAGTGTCTGATGGTCGTGTGTAAGCATGGCTGGAGAAGAGGGCTTGACGATCATAGGAAAAAACTAAAACCCTTTGTTGTTTGAGGATGTGAGAACATTACCATTTGTTTATTGTTCTAATAACAATGTCTGAATGACGGCAGCAATTTTAAAGACTGGAAAGTTAAGCACAAGATCCTTCTGTTATTTGACAATTGCATGGTGCATCAAGTGACAAGCAATTTAATTCACATAAAAGTCTTATAAAAGCGTTCGAAAGCATTTTTAAATATTAAAAAACGATTTGCTGGATGTTTAAAGGTGTTGATTTTTATTTATTTATAAAAGTCTCATATTTGTCCTAGTACATCATTCATCTAACCTTGTGATTGGGGTGTAATTCGAACTATGAAGGCATATTATCACTGTGAAATGCATAATTGACTTCTCCAATACTGAAATCACGAAAATGAATGCAGGAAAGTTGTCATAAAAGATTTATGGATGCTCTTCATATTTTTAAAGAAAGCTGTAACAAAATTACATGATTGAAAATAGTTTTAAGCATGGGAGATTTACTAAAGCTGCAAACGAACATGTAACTGATGATAAAATGGAGGAAAACATTAATACTTTAAGTTGTCATAATGTGTCATTATCCAATTTCAATGCACAGATGAAAATTGAAGAACTCTTTGCAGAAGAAATGTGTTCTGTTGTAAGGGAAGAAGCAGCTATAGTACACATGCCAACATGGCTGAAAAAAGTGACAACCTCCTTCTCACTTTTTTCAGCCGTGTTCCAATGTAATTAATTCTTTGGCAACTGCTGAAATGCCACCAGCACTGGCGGTCTTACGATGCATAGTACAATATTGATCAAATGATTTTATGGTGCAATATTCATATGAACATTTTATTAGTGATTTATTACATAAAGACTATAGACAATCAAAAATAAATTAAATTTTTATGGTAACTCCTAAATTAGGACCAGCTTCCCCATAGAAAGTCCTCCCTGGAGACATCCTCTCAGCAGATCACCCAGGTGTATTAAAACAAACATTAAAATATCTAATATTTGAAATAAACATACACAAAATGTACAGATAATATAAATGATCAGAAAATATATCAAATATGCAGTGAATTCTCACTTTATGATTGGTTTAGCATTCAATAAAATTGTTTTATGATAGTCTCTAGTTTAACGTTTGATAAATATTCGGTTTACAATTGTCAGTTGGTTAATATGGGTGTGCATAGGTAATTATAAATCGATCTGCGATACAAATACAATTATTTTGGATAAGTAAGCCAAAATGATAATCACTTCAAATTTTGAGGTGCAAATTACACTATTTACACTACTTAATAGTCTCCAGGACAAATTAGTATTATAAAGCATGGTAGACATTATGTTTATTTATATTATTTACATGTATAATAATCATTAAATTAAGTTTTATAGACACATTCTAATTATAAAAAGTAATATTTGTAAAATGAATATAATAAATTAATTTTTATTACAACTGAAACTGAATTTTATATTGCAGGCTGCACATTGCTACATCCACATAGCAGCATTACAAGCTGAATACTTGAGGCAGAAAGGTAAATTATTTTGTAATTTTCATAGTATTAGGCATTTGTATTTATTCTGAAATACAATGATAATACAAGGATGAGTGTCAATTTATAACCTAATTACTGACTTCCCGTGTAAATATTACATTTAAATCGTTATAATCATCAGTTGATTTGGAACTTTCACTTTTAGAAAAAAAATCTTACGTTTAGATATTTCTAAAAGATTGTTCAAATTAGAATGAAGTGCATTATCAATAAATATAAAAAGACTATTTAAAACAGATTTAGTAATATATTTTTGAGCAATATGTTAATAACATATCAATAATGAATATATTTTATTGTTTTTGAACAAATCATCTAATTGCTAGTGAAAAAGTCATATTTCAATCAACTGTATCATCGGTTGAATGTTTTGTTTTTTTCTTTTGAGAAAGTGAAGTCACTTCTGCCAACATTATAAAAATAAATAACGATGGTTCCTAATTAGTGGTATGCGTACCCCAGGGGCACACGAAATTGCATGGAGTACACGCGGCAATCTAAAATCGGTCGATTTAAAATTTAAATGCATGAGATGAAGCAATCAAAAAAATAATGGGTGGACCATCAAAAATTCGGCAATTTACAACATGATGTCATATGCACAAATTCATTCATTTATAACTAAAAATATTCTCTAAATTTCATCAAAAAATGCATTTGTGACAATACCTAAATGAAATTCTTATGCAAGAAACAAAAACTTATCATTATTATCATGTCAGCAAAGTGGCAATAAAATATTTACTACCATTTTGCACAACATACCTCTGCGATAGCAATTTTCGGCCATGACTAACATGAAAACTAAACATCGTCACCGACTGCAACTCGAAGATGACTTCAGACTGAAGATGGCCAAAAAGCAACCAGATTTTAAAGTTGTACAAAGAAAATCGTGCACATTTGTCACATTAAAATTAAATAACCTTATGTTATTTTCATTATTATTAGAATTGTATTTTAAAGGTAATAAATGTAAAAAAAAACTTATTCTATTTATCACTTGCTGNATAACTAACGCATATGTGGAAAAGCATGTAAATAGAGCTACCGAGCATTACCTGTGTCATGGCATTTCTGTTATTTTTCTAATTTGACGTTAATTAACAAAATTTAATAAAATTGATTATTTAAAAACTTTCCTCCAAAAAAAGAAATCTTGAAATTAAATTTCAAACATGCGGTATATCTTAAAATTGTCTCGACTCACTAAATGTGGTACAGTATACTCTCACTAGTCTGTCCATTCCTTGTACAGAAGGATGCTAAATTAATGAGTATGTATAGGCCTAAAGGCATTGAATGACATGACCAGTCCTTTGGCATAGATTTTTTTAGAGCAGATGGGTGAGTAATGTGGTGCATCAAAATGAAACCTAAGTACAGTCAACCCCCTATAACACTTTTGATTTTTCCATTTTATATGAATTCCATGTTGTACGAGTCACTTAGATTTTACAAATACGTGTACCGGGCTGTGAACAGCTCACGTATTTGTAAAATCTAAGTGACTCGTACAACATGGAATTCATATAAAATGGAAAAATCAAAAGTGTTATAGGGGGTTGACTGTACTTAGGTTTCATTTTGATGCACCACATTACTCACCCATCTGCTCTAAAAAAATCTATGCCAAAGGACTGGTCATGTCATTCAATGCCTTTAGGCCTATACATACTCATTAATTTAGCATCCTTCTGTACAAGGAATGGACAGACTAGTGAGAGTATACTGTACCACATTTAGTGAGTCGAGACAATTTTAAGATATACCGCATGTTTGAAATTTAATTTCAAGATTTCTTTTTTTGGAGGAAAGTTTTTAAATAATCAATTTTATTAAATTTTGTTAATTAACGTCAAATTAGAAAAATAACAGAAATGCCATGACACAGGTAATGCTCGGTAGCTCTATTTACATGCTTTTCCACATATGCGTTAGTTATTCGTTGTAATCCAGCATCATAATGTCATCTTGAATGCTTCTTAAAATGTAAAAAGATGTTTAAAAGCTAATTTTCAACATAGCTTATTTAAGTGATGTGACATGAACGTTAAACATTATTGCCGAAAATCCAAATTGATACAATCGCAGTGACTGTTGATAGTTGTTGTTGGACCACAAGTGTAAGATGCCATCAATTTAAAATGTATATCTAGTTTGGACAATAAGAAATGGGTGAAAAGTGCATCTTAGAATCGAGGAAATACGGTACTTTTATTACAAATAATCAAGCATTTTTACTTTGAACTACTCGAGTGTCTTCAGATGTGTTAAATACAGAAAATGTTTTAAAAAATGTATACAGATATGTTTTTTACACAAATTTAAACTCATATAGATCAAGCAAAAATGTATTCTTATTTACAATTAAAAACTACTTTCTTCGTAACATTGTCAAAAGTGATAAATTTCTTGGAAACGAATACGTTTTGATCTGTGTCTAATTTATTATTAAACAAACATGATGTGTTTTTAGTTTTGACTGATAAAAACAATAATTAATAAAATTTTTAAGTGAAATATTTTTTCATTCTAACATACAAGAAGGAAAAACTGCTGAAGTTTTAAAGAACAAAATTGTTATTTATTTATATTATAAGTGTTTTATGGCTATGAACATCCAAAGTACAGATTTGGCTGAAAACGTTTGCTTTTTATTAAATTTTTCTCAGAAAATTAGTGTTGTGGTTTTTTTTTTTATACATACTGCTGAGTGATTGTACCTCAAGGTATAAGTCATAGTTATGATTTCGCAGATCCAAGACAGCTTGGTAGTCCGAACGGCCCTAGGCTTTCGCCCATGCACACTAAGTGACTTTCATTACAAGCATTTAGCTTTCCGAAGTCTATGACAACAATTGTTTGGCATTGACAGCCGCAAATTTAGCGCCAATAAGCTGCCTCGACTCATTCGACTATGTTATCAATTCAATTTCATATTTATTTTCACATTTTCACGGTCCTTCTCTGTTATTTTTCCGTTATTTACACGTGTAGGTCATTTCATTGTTATCCACATTTGATATCATCATTTATCACATACTGCCATGACGCTCTTGTCTGTCTGCTACAACTGTCAAGAATTAACGCGATTGGTGAACCGTAGTGATGGGCCAATAGAGAGCAGAGTCCTTGCCATAATGCAGTTTGCGCGCCAATTTTCGTACATCATTAATCAATCCGAATAGTTTGGCCGAATATTTGGCTATTCGGCCACGCTCCTGGCTGAATATACTATTCGTTGCAACACTAGTAATAATGCTTTAGCAGAGATAAACTATGATTACAATAAATTCAAGGACTTTTGAGATGCTTTGTTTGTCTTGGGAAAAATGCAGAAAATTTATGTTAAAGAGATCGAATTAATGGCTGATTAACATTTCTTGAGCTTCTTTGTTTCACAGAGGCTTCTCTGATGTAAGCTTAAGGATTTTACCTTTATTGAAACTAAGACATTGATGAAACATATCCAATTTGGCATTTGTACAATCACAAATTAAATATGAAACAATTATTTTAAGGATTATTTTCAAGCGGATGTCAAGCATTTAAGCATATATCACCAAATGTTGAGATGGACGAATCCAATATGAAAGAAGACTGCGGTAATCAAGAAATACAGTATACCGAAGTAATCAGTTTTATAAAAATGTATTAGTTTTTGATTTGCTAAGATTTTAAAAATATATTAAAACACAAATTTTTTTATTTAGGATTCATTTATCGAGACGCTAGAACAGTCCGTCTCGCTGCTCGACCAGGCAGAAAGATACGAAATCATATCAGAAATTTATAAATTGATACTTCCAATTTACGAGAGGCGTAGGAATTATGAAGTAAAATTTTTACGATTTTATGTATAAAAACAATTTCTTAAATTAATGTTTAAAGCTAAAAGAAACTTTATTTATTTTCAGGCATTGGCGTCATCTTACAAGAAGTTATGTAGTGCATTCTCTAAAGTTGTCGAAGTTAATAAAACTGGGAAACGACTGTTAGGAAGATATTACAGAGTGGCCTTCTTTGGTCAGGTAAAGCAATAGTTAAACGAATAGTTATTTGAGTTGCATATCGTATGGTTCCGATTTACTTGGAGAGGAAATGTCGATATGGAACTGGAGGCAGTTTTGCAGGTCTCATATTTTTTATGGTGTCTGGCAGAAAATGAGATCTTGTATCTCCATTTTTCTTTACTTTTTTTAACTTTCTCTTGACAAATTCTCTCTTGTCCTGCTTATCTGTGGACCCAAATTGAAACATTTGTCTCCAATATATATCTGAATTGCCTTGTTTCTGGTTTATAGACTTTGTTATCCCATTTCTGTTTCTATATTTGTCATTACAGCTCCTTACCTGTGATGACAAATGTAGGAACGGGAGTTTCTCTCTCTTTTTCTCATCACTAATTGGATAAAGATCTAATTCCAGTAAGAATTGCGTAACGTTTATCTAAAATTAATATTACATAATTTTCTTGAAATTGATATTTATCTAATTTTAAAAGGCGTATTTTGGCGAAGAATCCGGTAAAGAATACATTTACAAAGAACCAAAAGTGACTTCCTTAGTGGAGATGTCTGAGAGATTAAATTGTCTTTTTTCCGAAAAATTTGGGAAGGATATCGTAAAGATGATTATGGATTCTATTCAGGTAATACTACTATTTTCTTATTCATTTATTTATTTATATAATTGTTACTTTAGTAAGATTAGTTTACTCGATAACAGGTGAATTCTAGGGATTTAGATGCAAAATATGCTTACATTCAAGTGACGCACGTAGTACCATATTTTGACGAAGACGAATTGAAAAATCGCATTTCTGAATTTGAAAGAAACAATAATATAAGGTGTTTTATGTTTGAAACGCCTTTCACGCAAGATTTAAATAAACCGAGGGGAAGTCCAGAAGAACAAATGAAACGTCAGACAATACTGAAAGGTAGTAACGTTACATTCATGTTTTATTAAAAATTATTTTGAATTAAGTGTGCGGAAGTCATTCATAGTGATAAATATCTTACAAAATGATTTCTTATATGAAGATACATAAATTAAATTGTTAAATGACAATGACATGTTATATGATAACAGCAGAAATTTAATGTAAATACTCTATATAATCAATGTGTTATCATATCATTTTTTCATACAATTTGGTTTAATTTTATAAACGTAAAGTCTGGCACATTAAGGCTGTACAACCAGCTGCAGTTTTATCCGTTACAAGCAGATCTAACCAGTGACGGGTTTTAAAGACAGGGACATTATGCCGTCTTTAAAACCCATATTACTCATTAGAAACTTATTGAGGTTGATGCAATATTATGTAACCTCTTGGTCATTGCTTTGTAAGAATCACAGAAACATCTTTGGCATTATTAAATAATTAAAATTAATGAAAAAAGAAGAGAATAATCTCTTAAAATCAATATCAACTTCCAAATCATCATAGAGAAATAACAATAAATTTAGTACATAAATATTAAATACGTATTTAAAATTTTTATTTTTTTAACAGCATTATATTCCTTTCCATACGTAAAAAGAAGAATCCCAGTATTTTCCAAATCTATCAAAGTTCTGAGCCCAATAGAAGTGGCCATTGACGAAATGCAGAGTCGCGTGAAGGAACTACAAGAAGTAATTTGCTCCAAACCGACCGATTTAAAGAAATTACAATTGAAACTACAGGGTAGCATCAGCGTACAAGTAAATTTTACAGTTTCTTTTAAATTTTATGGATGAAATTATTCAGTTTCTAAACATGGTTTTGCACATAGGTGAATGCGGGTCCATTGGCTTACGCCAAGGTATTTTTAGATGAAAATAAGATTAGAAGGTATCCTGTAGATAAAGTTTTAATGCTGAAAAATGTATATAAGTAAGTAAATTTTAATGGATGTACAAAAAAATATTTTAAATTAAAGTTTTATAATAATAATAATATTCTTTTCAGGTTGTTCATCGATGTTTGTCAAGAAGCGTTAGAGTTGAATGGTAAACTAATTGTGTCGGATCAACACGAATACCATTCAGTATTAAAAGTTAATTATCAAGAAATGGTTTCTGATTTATCAAATTATTTAAATAGTCAGGTGAGAATTAATATTTTTAAATTTGCTATTATGATAGACCAGCGATTCTCAACCAGTGGCCATAAACTTTGTAGTTGTGTTAATTTTTTTTAATGTAAAATACTGCAGATATTCAATGTCACTTTTCATTTACATACCTTATCGATGCATTGTCAAAAATTATACACCACTTATTCAAAAAGATCGAGAAGCACTATAATAGACTTTTACTTTAAAATGGGACTTCTGGCTTTCCAACCAACAGGGTTGACAAAAGTTTAAAAGAGGATCAGTAAAACTTTGCTTAATTTCTTGCTTTTAAATAAATCTAGAAAGATGTCTTTTAAAAATTATGTATGAAGGCTGTTGCACATATATAATATATATATTATCGAAGGGGGTCAGGTCAATACATGAGAAACATTGGGAACCAGTTTTAAAACAACTCACTTTACAACCCTATAAACCGAAGTTTGGACTTTATATTACACAAAACAATAAAAAGTCAAGAAGCATTAATGGTTGATTTATTTCCCAAAGCTCGGCTCTACCTTTGATAATACTGCAATATGTGTATAGAATAAGCATAAGGTTACGTAGGTGGTTTCCTTAGGGGTCATAAAGATCAATTTCTGTAGTCTGGCAATGACCAGATCCCAAGGTTGCCAAATTAACTAGATTCAACCTGTAATAATTATATATTGCGATCTGAAGTATCAATAAAAGATTGAAACACAGTGTATATAACACTGTTATCGGTTTTACATAGGATAAGTCGAACAGAATCTGCTTTACAAGAAACCCTCGTTAGTTTGAAATTCATGGGAAAAAATAATTGCTACTTTGAATTATCCGAGATTTATATATTTCTGTACTGTGCCAAATGCCAAGTAACTGATGTAATTTATTAAGAAAATAGAATTCTGTATATGTAGCTATATTCTATTTTCCTTAATTAATAATAATAATAATAATATAAATAAACTGCACATAAGCAGCACAGGTCACCAGACAGATTTTATAAAAAGTAAAACTGAATTCCTCTTAAATGTAGCCCAAAAAGTAGTAAGTTTGTAAAGTACTATTTTTAACTTATCGCTCTACAACGATTTTTGTTTCGGAGAGAGCCAGTACCTAACGGGTACTTTACGTGGGTTCGCGTTTGTTAGTTTGCCAGGCCTGGACTTTCGCGTGCACCGAAGTAAATTAAGGACAAGTTAGTCAAAAATCAAAAAATATTTAATAAAGATCTAGAATTACTATTTACAATATGTACAATGATCAACAAATTTATGCAATCAAATCAAATCCAACGTCAAAGTCAACCCGACAAAACTCAATCTTATTCTAACTTAGAACTATTCCCCCTTGGAATTCTGACAAAAATCAATCCTTAACTTAGGTACAGAATTTCTTATAACTACAAATCCTAACCATCACCTCAATTATACTAGGAACCTTTTTCTCAACTCAAGACTTTTCCTATGCCTCGATCCACAAATCGAATACTGCAGTCGCCTTGGACTATTTCCTATTGGACACCTCGTTCACTACTACTAGCACACCAACGCTTATTCTTTTCAAGAGCTCACCTCTGACGTCTTCACTTGAGCTACGCTATTTATAGTCTGAGGTGACGTCACAGTTTCTAAGTGAGACACTCCCCTCATTTACATCTTATACGTAACATTCATTTTTTTCTTGTCTATCTGGTAGCTTAATTCCCGACAATACTTTGTTTAACCTTTTACAGTCTTTTGTTGAACAATTATCAGGATGTTTCCTTTAAGGTTTAACAAGTTCCTAAAAGTCTATGGGGTCTTCCCCCCTTTCAGTGCGGACTTACTATCTGCCGCTCGGGCGTGCACGTGAGTGCGAGTGTTAGCTATGGCGCTTTCTTTTTTCGTCGGTGAGTTGGTTTTATCTTCTCTTTTTAACTTTCTAAGGTGATGGATGAGGAATCCTTCATCCTAACTAAACATAAGCCCCAAACAAAAATATAATAAAAGCAAAATAAAAGTAAATAAAAATAACGCTCGGACTTGGTTCCTTACAAGTTGTCCAATAGTAGTAGCCTGAAGCCCTTTAAATATCTCAATCTGCAACTTGTAACACAATTTTACCCAGTCGTATTTTGTGAGATAAGAGAAAAAAGGGTAGTCCATGGATAAGGTGACACCCGAAAATATGCTACTGTAAAAGCAAAGCAATGTTACCAGATTAGATTTGTTCTCTTACAGTACGAAAGAGTTAATGTATGCATATGACAGTTTGGATAGAATTTTCATTTTGAATTGCAAAGTATCTGTATTTCGAACTAGCCGAATTCCTTAATGCATAAATCTCTATACCACCAACTGGGACAAAAGTACAGTTACAAACTAAAGGGAGTTTGAATTAATGAGGATTTCCTGTATCGGGAGATGACTCTTTGGACTCCAAGTACCAGGAGCAATAATTAATAAATCTTCATTATACATTTTATAACTGTTTTAATATTCCTATTAATGACAGCCAATAAAACCAATAGTTTTACTCATTTATCTCAATTACAATAAATGGATCCTACCATACCTCTAGAAGCTGGATTAATTTTGGGTTAAAATTAAGCTAATTTTTTAATTAGTTTAAATTACTGAATTTTGTCTAAAGGTAGAACTCGATTAAAATTTAAAAGTAATTTCTAATTATTAATCTCATCACAATATGATGACTTAACAATAGAATTTGGCCCAAAGATAGGTGGTTAAGTAATGAAAATCTTAAACTATTTAATAAAACTGTTAAAATAAACTAAAATTGAGTTTTTTTTTTTGTCAGCAATTATGCTCGATTTTATTTCATATTATTTTAAAAAAGAATGCCAAAGTATCTACAGAATTTATTTGATACTGCCACATTACTTACTACAGTATAGCAGAGGTTTTCTTATTACAAAGAAAACTAAATAAAAATTTTTGTACAGTAGAATTTGCTTTTATGGTCTCATAGATATGATAAATTGAAACTGCAAGTCTTGGAAATACAGTCTGTACGATATAAATTTTATACAGGATTCTGCATGGTTTTACATCAGTTGTGTGTAAATTCATCGAAGTTCAGACGATTATTTGGAACTAAAATATGAAGAGATGACATTAATTTATTGTGGGCTTTCTTGTGGTGTTTACAGCAAAGTTTTCTTGACAATTACTTTATGAATTGTAATGTCCTGTAGCTCTTTTTATAAAATGTAAACACGGAAGTTACAAGAATTAGGATTAGTATTCTAATATACAGTTGAGAATCTGAGAAATAATACAAATACTTGGTACTCATTATCGTCTTTTATTAGTTTGTGATTTAATTTGTACATAAAAATAAATGTTTTTTTTCTCCTGTTTTTTTCCATAATAACTATACCTACTTTTGCACCCTACTGTGTATTACATGTTTTAATGACTCTTGTTTCCACTATGGCTACCAATTTTGTTACTTATACCAAACCATAGGTTTTTTTACATTTAATACATAACACAATAGGAAACGTGATTTAATTACGCTATTCCACCGTAGGTTATCTTTAATATACAAAAAGTCACTTGCCAAATAGCAAACCTTATTGTTTACGTCACTGTTGTTTGTTTGTAATTAATAACATAGCGTTCTACACCCTGTCGCATATATTATTCCTTTGTACAATTAACAATAATGGTACTAAAATAATTTATTATTATTTTTAGATACTTTTAGAAGATTTGGGAACATTCAGGAGAACGTCATTAGAAGTGTTTAATTTCATCAGCGGTTCCAGCACCGCATGACATGGTCATCTCTGCATTTATATCGGTGCCTTACGTGACGTGGACTGTGCAATTACCGTGTATAATAATGAGAGAGAGAAAACGTGCATTACACAATGTAACATGTTAATATTCATAAGCAAATGCCAAAGAAAATTGCCGTGCAGCTTATCCGTAGACTTTTAGAAAATTCGTGAGTAAAGTGACGTATCAATATGTTTCGTACGTAATTTTTTTAAATCTCTATTTATATTTTTACTTTTCGACCAGAGTCGAGCAATCTAGACGTTTTTATTATTATTTTGTAAGTTATTACTAACAAATTTGTTATCCGATGCATATTTATTACGTAATTTAGATGTAAGAGTGCGGAAATCACCAATTTACATTCGTACAATCGGTTAATGACCGTCCACGCACGTACGTTGATGGTTTTTAACAATAATACAGGGCTGTGGAGTCGGTAGATTTTTACACAACTCTGATTCCAATCAGAGGTGGACTTGTTAACGTCAGAATTTTTGAGCCTACTTTATCACATGACCTCAGAATATAGCTCTAATAACGATTGGAATAAAAAAGTTTCTACATTCTAAGCAATGACAGTCAATATATAAATATGTATTCAATAATTTTTAAGTTCAACCACACTGGAGATATGACACGACCCCTTCTATGTCTATACCCTGTTGACCTTTAATAGCATTAATGCCCTTTATACACATGCTACTGTGTCAAATTTTGTTTCTTAAACACTTTTTCAAAATGAGTAAGATTTAATATTTTAAAACAGAATAAAGAAATTAGACGCCACCATACGCGCGTTCGAATTTTTCGCTTTATTTGAAATTTTTTGGGTTCAAGAGATCTCTAAATGTATAGATTTGCAAAAAACTCTGAGGGTCAAATACTTTCCCAACTTGTTATGTATATAAAAATCCGATAAAGTAAAAAGGAGTTGGAGTCGGGAGGGATTTTTGACGACTCCGATTCCACAGCCCTGCAATAATACTTGTGCCTTTTAGAATTTCGTTACTGTACAAAATACGCATTGAGTTGTAATAAGTTTTATATTTGTCGCTTGTCCAATGTAACCCGTTTTACTTTAACGGCATAATATTAACTGTAATGAAAGATTCCCGACACGTGCCATATTTGTAACTGTCTTTCTCTCTTTCTCTTTACAGAACTTTGTTACTAGTTAAGTCTCAAAAGACTACGGTATTCTAATAAAAGAAACAAATTTAATAATTGTGTACTTGTTTATCAGTCTAAATAAACACAGATGTGTAACTAAATTGACTTGTGAAGCATATTTCGACTTCTAACAACAGAATAAAGTACTTTCACCTCAAACTGTATACAAGTTAATTGTATTTAACAAGAGATGGCTGCATATACATAAAATGAAACTCTGAGAGAAAAGATCGATTAAGATTACACTCGCTTATTCACAAAGCATTTTTTAATGAAAGACTTAAATTTTAACTTTAACAAAGAATATGCTCAATGGTAGACTCTGTACATAAGCTTTTTTTTTCTTTTAATTGTATCATATGTTAGATGAGAGAATTTTAATGTAGCAAGTTTATTTTGTATTATAAATAAAACTTGATACTGGTTTGGCAATCAGTTAACAATCACCTTACAGATTCTTAAAATATAAATTGTGATCCCGTCGTAAATAAGCAGCTCTACTTTTGTGATTTTATTACTATGCGCAATTCTATCTTATGTACACACAGTTATATGTGTATAAATTCTAAGGAGACCACCTTTACGAAAGAACAAAATTCTTTGGAATCGTCCATTCCAAAGAGTAAAGGTGGAAATCGGTTTGTTATATCAGTAATTTTGACACACTACTAAAAATAATGGTGAATGCAGCTATTTTGGCAATGTTTTTTTAGCATTTTAGGCTACTAAAAGCTGCTATAAAACCAATCATTTAAAACTTAACGTCCCTGATACAAAATATAGAATTTGCTCGTGTCAGAAACACATTGCACCAAGGGGGAAAACGGATTAATGTGTTACACGCACAAGTTTCAGAATTGCATTCAATATGCCACCATATTGAATGCAACTTTGAAACTAAACGGGAAGGGAATCACACAACACGTCATTTAGGATCAGAATTTCACGAGGAATCAATTGCCGAAAGATTTTATTGACCTACCTCAAATTGTGTAATGTACATAATTAACCATGTGCTTGATTTATGTACATTCTTAGGATACATTCTATATTCTGTAGCAGGGGTGTTGACTTTCTTTCTCACCCTGTATAATTACTTAATATTTACGGAAATTGCATAGCAAGGGTCTTTTAATTTCGTATTTCTGTCACTTAAAGATCTTTAAGTAAAATTACGATCCCGTGAATAACTCCGAAGAAAACTTGTTTCCGGCCCACAAATATAAAAAAGACCACAAACCGAAACATTGTTTGCTTCAGGACCTCCAATTGTTTTTTCTATCCCACTAAAAAATACCCTAAATTTTCGTTTCTGTAGCATTAACCCCAACAATACAAATGCTTTAAGTGTTGTGTTGTGTTATGTGTCTAGGTTTTAAGAAAATTTCAATTAATAAGGCAAATCGTCATTAATTAATTTATTTATTTTTGAATAATATACTTGGTAGTGGACAATTGTGGAGAGGAGACTGAATTTAGAAATTTATGGACAGCTAATTGCTAATTCTTCTTTGGGTTTTAAACACAGACAACACCCCATCCAACACCAGTCAAAACATTGGAAATTAATGCAGTCTCTTTAATTTTTAAAAAAATCTAGTGAATCACTTAACTTTTCCAGCAAGATTTAGTGGCGCCAACTCTTATAAAATGGCAAAAGGCTTAATTTTGTAAAAAATTGTAAATGCTAATAACAAGTAAAATTATCATTAAGTCAGACCCTATTCAAGATACACACAACCCCCATTATCTTTCCATCCTCTGGACCTTTATTAAGGGTATTGTTGCTATTAAACAAAATTTTCAACAAAAAGCACAGGAGTGCCATTGAAATAAAATGTAATAAATGTATGGGAAATGGCAATTCATGATAATACATACCATCAAATAGTGGTTGTACGTGCATAACCTGGGATATGCCTGTATTTCCAAAAATTGCCATCTTGCGGCAATGATTTAATTCTTGGATACCGACATCGAGTGGCCTCTGCAGCTAAAAATGTGTGTGTTGTTGCAGGTCTCATGTACTTTTTCCCAAACTCCTTTGACAGTACCCTTTAATTTGTAAATTAAATGGCACATAATACACACCAGCAACCGTTAATTTTGGCTTTAAAGAGGGAAAACATAACAGAATTCCCCAACAACCCCAAAAAATGGTGGCCGTAGTCTATTTTTTTGGAATTGTTGCCTTAGATTTTCTTGATTGCGGCAATCAACGCCTTTCTGTGTGGTGTGGTGCGAAACTACTATACGATAACTGGCTCAAATATTTTTTTTGCGGTGCATTAAAAATTCACTACTGCTTTGGCAGCACTCGAATGCCTGTCTTGTGCCTAACTTACGCCAAGAAGATTGCATAGATCTCAAAGAATTGTAGTTTTTGAATGCCTGCTATTCTGTGGTGTTTGTTCTTATGCTAATGCAACTGTTTCAGGAGTGTGCGCTTTTGTCAGTTTGCCTTGACAGAGAATTCATTGATGATGATGATGATGATGATGATGATCCCCATCTGTGCAAAACTACTTACATTCCCTTCAGTCCAGTATTTCACTGTGGAAAGATTCCCACATACAGCAACCAGATGCCATATTGTTTACTCAATTTTTATGAAGGTATGTACAGCTATAAATTTTTTAACATGTTAGAATAAAACAGAACAATATGTCTACTCACAATAGTATGTATGCTAAAGCTGAGAGAAGAGGTACCAAATTTTAACTGCAACATAACTGAGACACGAGGGAACAGACGGTATACCCGAATTTGTATTCTAAATTGTTCGGACCGAAAACCGTTGGATGTTACTACAAAATTTAACAATCTTGTTAATATACCGGTATCTCTCTACACCCATCTGTGATATGTCATGTCGATCCAATGTTTACTGTTATTACATCGGTAACAATACTAAAGTTTTACTTTTTCAAGCAATTTTAAGTTTATTAAATTAACAATGAATCAAATAAATTATGTAACATAGAAAGGGAAGACAATTCTGTAAAATTATACAAGTCATATATGTATATAAATAAAAAACAATCCGAATATAAATTACAAGACAAGGAGAATTAGTCGACTTTAACTCGAACGCGCGGACGACGCACGCGAACACGGAACACGTTGGACGAACTTACGCGTAGTGGTAGTGGTGGTGGTGGTAGTAATTTTTACACTGGCCTTAACAATAAAATTACAAAACCAAAAAATGGTTTTTACAAGAGAAATTTGTGTCCAGCACAAAATAATAATGAATCTAATGATTACCGAATGCTCATAGAATCTCTGTTAAATATTTAAAACGTCTCTCTCTTTTTTTTTTACAAACAACAAATATAGGCTTACGGTCGATAACCTGTACTATCAAACATAAAAATCAACTTCTAGTAGTATTGTAACACTTTTTCCCATTATTACAAATGTTTAGACGATATAACAACAGCTATTTGCATCAAAATCTTCAAAACTGCAATATAATGCATCAAATTTAATATTTTTGCAAAACAACAAACGAGAATTTCTCAATTCAAAGACTAGATATTACGATATATATATATATATTTTTCGCACTCGTGGAAAAAGTTTAAAAATCATTCATTCATTCAATCATTTTTTTTGTATAATTTTATAACAATACTATGCGATTTTTTTTTGTTTATCTGCTATTCTATTAAATTATAAAAGCAAATTATTTAATAATGCTTTATAGAATTCCAAAGCATGCATTTTATTAATAAGTTAGAGTGCAGTGTATGCCTCGACTATTGATGGCCTTACCCTTAAAGGCCGGGGATCGGCGGGACCGATGCTCGACCTCAGGTGCGTGTACCGTTGGGGACGAACGTTGTAGTTATATTTTGTGTCGGGGTGAGAGTACGGATGAGGATAGGACATTTCCGCCGCTGCCGGCCGGTAACTTCCTCTGGGATACAATCGATCGCTGTAATATCTGTAATTATCGCCACCCGCGTGGCTCATACCGCCTCCCATGCCGTGTCCCAGACTGGCATTGTCGTGATTTCGCCGACTGATGTGTATGATTTTGGTGTTTTTATCGTTGGGAGCTTGGAAAGGCAGAATGTTCTGCGGAAGATATTTGTGAGCTTTAGTTTTGTTACAAGTAACTTAATTGTTGACCACGTCATTTTAAAAATCTTACCTGCCGTTTGCTTCTTCTCTCCATTACTTCTTTGTATTCCTTTCTTCTTTTACGGTCCTTAAATTATTTAAGGTTCTTATAAGTAATTTTTAATAAAAACTAAGTATCATTTAAGAACTTATTACCGATACTTACCACATAACTTATTAAACAACTGGCGGGCACCCATATAATAACAGAAATTACAACAACTGTTCCTACGATGTTGTCATTAAGAAATTTTACTGAAATATATTTGAATTTTAGTTGTAAAATTCATTGTCTTGTACAGGTCTATATTGTCTATATACTTACAAACACTATTAATGTTGATGTCTTCGATTCTATCCCAGAATCTTTCCACGATGTCTTGAACAGTTTTTTTGCAGTGACCCTAACAAAAATCAAGTTTAAATACAGATAATTTAATTACTAAATTAATAATTTTTATAAATACCTTATCACAATAGCCATGTATGCACGGCGTTCCGTCACGAAGTATTTCGATCGGTTCTATGGGATCACAAGTGTCGTTTTGTGTACGACGACAACATCGTTTGCAAGCGTCTTCCTCTATAAAATAATGAGTAAGTAATTGCTCGAATGAAAGCAAAACTGTTAAGAAAATGCAGAGAAACAATTACCTCTGTCACACAAACAATATAGACGATCTCTCGTTTCGCAGAAAGGTATACACTCTCCTGCTAAACATTGGCCCCTAAAATTATTATTAATATTTAACTATGATATGTGTATGCATATACGTATTGTACATATACATATATCTTATACATACTTATCTAAACAAAGCGTTTTATTGGGTTGTGCCGGCGAGGGTGGACAATCCGGTGATTCGCCAGTAAAATAACATTAAGGATATCTTCAAAGCAAGCAAACTACAGCTTTATATTAATTATTTTCTAAATTCGAATCAGAACTTTCATTAAAAACTTCAAAAATTTTCGTCTATGACATTTTGAATGAAAATTTTCGTAGTTTGTATCAATCATCAAAGATTAGAAAAGGATACAAAAAAGATATTTCCGATTAAAGTTTTTGGCTAGTAACTATGCGATACAAACGGAATACTCGCCTTACTTGCTTTTCCACAACAACCAGCAAGATGACAAGATTTAGCATGTGTACTCCAGTGACAATCCAAAATGAATTTTAAAAATTAAAACATTAATGCTCTAATTTGAAGATAACCCAACAAAGGCTTCTCGAGAAGGCCGAAAACTTTCGGAAAAGCAAGTAAGACATGTATTTTGTTTGTAAAATTTTTGGGTTCATATTCAGAAGATATTTTAATCATCAGGTATCATTTTCATAATTAATTTAGATATGAAAAATTAATAAGTTAAGGATATGTACAGTGAGCTTCTTGTTTGCATGCTAGGGGTTGAGCTTCTCTACACACTTCCCTTCTTTGTACCAAACGACAACCTCTGCAACACGGAGCATTCTTATCACTGAGGGAAAAAAAAAATGATTATTTTCAATTTAGTAATAAAATTAAGTTTTCTGAAAAGAAGTGTAAAGCAACAAACCTGCAAATAACTCCTTCTCTGAGTCTACAGTTAGTATCGCAGCAAAGATCATTGTCTTCGCTACCGATTAATCCAGCATCACATTCTTCTCCCTCTTCCACCAGAGAATTGCCACAGAATGATTCTTCTGGTTCTGTATTGTTTCAAAATATTTCATAAAACACAAATTACATAAATATTAAAGAATTAATTAATTTCGAGTGTCTTTAAATTTCACTTACTCAAAAAACATTTATTTGCTTTAGCCAGCAAGACGGCTCGAATCGATCGAATACTGCAGGGTGAAAATTTCTGTCAAAAAGTTTTGAGATTTAATAAAGTGCTAAGAATATTAATTTTACTGATTTTTAATTAATTAAAATTAAGTTAGTTTATAATCACAAGAAGTTGACACATTAAAATGAAGTATGGATCAAATTTGAATCCATATTCCCACGGAAGTAGGCCGATATCTCACTGCAAGGTCGTGATCGGCATTTAATTTTTTCGGTACAGTATGAAAACAATTATTTGAGTACTGTTTCGAGAATTTTGCCACTTTATTTGAGATCCTACATTCAAATTGATTCAACATTTTTAAGCCACCTGCTTAATAATAGGGGCTACTTTTACAGAAGAAACTATATAAATATCAATTAGAATAAGAAAGATTTTTATAAAATAAATAATTCAATGTTTAAGTAGATTGAGCAGAAAGATAAGTTGACAGAATACTTTGTAAGACAATTGGTATAATTAATAGCAAAGTTGAAACTGAAGTTTTAAACACAAAAATGTGTACATTGGACGTTCAGCATCACTTTCCTGTAAGCCTAGAAGTTTGGCAATGGAAGTTTGGCATGATTCCACTGACTATCCAAACACCATTGTCAAACTTCTAGGCTTACAGGAAAGCGGTGCCGAGTGTCTGATGTACACGTTTTCGCATTTATAACTTCGGCCTCAACCTCACTATTATCAATTTTTTGTTTTACTATAATTTACAAGCAACATCCATTAAGAATGCATAACTCTACTCATTCTTTTTACTGTCTACTTATTTCTCCATCTCTGTTATTGGGCTGCAGTTTTCAAATTGCAGACCTAACGTCCCCGTTGTCTGTCCACCTATCCTTCATTAATCTAGGGAGAAGAGTTAGATAGTTAAAAATCAGGACTCAATATGGAAAGCTTAGGGACCAGAGGGACCAACTAACTATATATGAACTTCCTGTCAGGCAGGAAGTCACTTGATTCCTTAAATTAAAAGACAATTAAAAATTGTAACCCAGCAGTGTAACAATGTCATGATAAATAGCTTCTCGTTAATTAGTGCAGATTATATATTCTTATCGATCCAAATTATTTCCACACGTCCTGCATTCTTACTTCCGATATCATTTCTCTTAATCATTTTACACTAATTCTTTTGCTCAATGCTTTTCCCATGAGCTGTTGTCATCCATCTTCTCTTACAATTCTTTACAGGTTCTCTTATTCTGACTCCCAGGCTCTTCTTGTATTGTTTCCTAGCTTCTAATTAATTTAAGATATCAAGAAGAGAAAAACTGACTCTTTCAAGTATTGAAACCACAGTTCTGCAAACTGTGGTTTCAATACTTGGTAGTTTATCAATTTCTGCATATGGATCACCATTCTGAATTACACTTCTAAGTACATGCGCACATGCATGTGCATGTCATGTCACATCACAGTGTGGTGAATGTTAAAAACTACAAATAAAAAGAATACAATATTACCTTATTATTAGGATCGTAACCACTGACCGAATATGTATACATGAGATACGAGCCGCCGTGCCTAGCATCCGGAGAACAATCAGGAATGTCTGGATCGTGTTCGCTTCCCCAATTATGTCCTAACATGTATAAAATGTTATAAATATGAATGATTTATGTAAATATGATTTTTGGGCTATATTTCAAGTTAATTAAACAGTAAAATTTGGCTTAAAAGCAAGTGGTTAGGTCACCACCTTGGGCTAAAATTAATCTTCCTACCTGTAGACTAAATTTCATTAAGTTTTAATTAACTTGAAACATAGCCTAAAAATAATCTGGTAGTTTAGATTTATGATTAATAAACGTATATACAAGGTGTAACAATTAAATTCCAGGACTGGGGTAATAAAAGGACACAAAGAACATATAATGAAAAACCCTTTTAATATGTTTCAAAGTAATCCCCTGGAGGGCAACGCACTTCTCGAAACACTCGGCAAAGTCACTTCCATTGACAGCTCTCAATTCCTTGGTCACATTGCGCTGCATGTCCTCCAGGTTGTTGAATCTTCATCCCTTCAATGTGATTTTGATTTTCGGAAACAAAAAATAGTCACAAGGCAACAAATCTGATGAGTATGGAGGGTGATTCAACTCCACAATGCCACGTTTGGCCAAAAACTCCTTGACAACAGTCACAGTGTGCGGGCGGGCATTGTCATGCAGCAGTACCCAGCTTCCTCTTGCTGCAAACTAAGGCCTAACCAACGAGTTGTCTTTGCTATCATCTGAATAGACATTCGATGGTCATATCGCAGCAAGTCTCTGATTTTTTCAATGTTTTCTGGTGTTCGAACTGATTGAGGTCATCCAGGGCAAGCATCGTCCTCAAGGTCTTCCCGACCATCCCTGAAATGCGCAAACCACTCGAAAACACGAGACCGGGATAGGGCATCATTCCCATAAACTTGCTTGATGAGGGCCTACGTCTCTGTTGCACTTTTACCCAATTTGTAACAAAACTTAATGTTCGCTTTTTGTTCCATGACAAAAACATGAAAGCACTTTCTCACAGCAATATGTGAATGGAGTACAGAAAAAAAACGCGTTACAAGACACGAACAAATCTTTGCAGACAAGTAGCCAGATGGTTGAACTATTATGACAAGCTTTGACAAGTTTCTGCACGCTGACACTGCAGCGCTACATGACCAGTCCTGGAATTAAATTGTCACACCTTGTAAATTCACAAACACTTTCAGATCAATAAAATTTATCTTCAGCAATATTCATGATTACAAAAACAGTTCTTAAAATAATAATTTAAGAATTTTTGAATATGTCGGAACATTCAAAACACACAGTTCTAAGCATACAATCTTACAAGATCTCTACCTAAAGACTTCCCAAAATTGTCTCTGTTATATAATCACTGGATTCCAAATTTCAACAAGTAACTGTATTAGACCCCACTAAAGCATCAAACTAAAATCAAAGTAAAAGATAGCTGACAGCCATTTTAGTTTGAGATTAATAGTGTTACTGAAAAGTTACCAGAACCAGAATACTATACGAAGAAAAACAAAACACTGAATTCCAGCAATATTTAATTTGAAAAACAAACATTTTCGCCCTTGATATACCTGCTTCGGATCTACCAAGAAGGCTGAAAACGTTTGTGGTTTCTTCTTTTCATGAGATTACAGTAAAACATCTCTAACTCAAATGTTTCTTTAAGTCAAAGAAAACAGCACTCAGTAAGTCTCAATGGAACAGTATAGGGATTTAATGTCATCAACTTGAATTTCCTTAACTCAAATGTTTTCACGGTTCCCGACACAGATTTATGTTACTTTCAACTCTCCCGAATCAAATTTTAATATTTATTCTATCCAAATTGATTCTAACTATTGGATTTCCATGAAATTTTCAGACTGATGTATCTACTGTCCGACACTCATTTGCAAACAACGTTCCAGTCCAAAGCAAGACAACCTCTTGCTTTATCTCAAAAAGATGTACATTACCTGCAAAACTGTTCAATTCCATTAGTTACATTGAACATTTTGCTGAAAGCATTACACGAGCTGTTTAAAACAAAAAACTATCAAAAGATTTTTCAGATAATGCGAGAGAAGTAAAAATACGAATCTATTCAGAATCGGCATTTTTCATTCTATTGTTCTCTAACGCGAATCATCTGTAGCTCAAAGTTTTTCCTGCCCCTCGGAGCTTCGAGTTAGAGAAATTTTACCATAATGGAGTTTCACTCTGTTAGTAAAATAAAATTAAATGCAAAACAAAAGCTAATAACGTGATAGAAATTAAATGGTACACTCATATCCAACAACTGATTTTTAATTAGAATGGTAATTAGAAATGATAACTTAAAAACATTAACAGCTTCTATTTTACTAAAAACTATTACTAAAAATAACCCAATTTTTAGATTAATGCCAAACAGTTGCCAGACTGCATCGAGTTAGAATAATGTGGGAGTTGCGGGTTCAAGTCTCATTTAGGGCCGATTTTCTTTCGGAACCTTCTAAATTACTTAAATTTATCAAGAGATGGCACCTAACACCTACCTCTAGGACAAATTACAGACATTAAATTAGTAATTAGAAACATTATTATTGGCCGATGCAATGCGGCATCATTTGTCATTACTACTAAATGACTAAGTAAAAAGAATAAACTAGTCTCTTAGTGCTAAAAATAAGATGATCCATTTTGTAATTAGAATTATTAAAAAAAAAAGTTTAATACTCACCAAATTCTAGAATAAAAGTTTCCGGATGGATCATAGAAAAGAAACAAACATCAATTATTTTATTTTAAACACAAGAAATGATGTTTCTTATTTTAAATTTTTAACGTTACCATGTGCAGTGACAAGATCTGCTTCACGTGTAATCACACGTTGACCATAATGATTTCTAGAAGTGCTCAAACCTGAATTTAAATACAGTGTGTAGCCATTTTTCACATATCCTATAAAAAATTTTATTTATAAACTATGTAAATAGATACTTATTATATTATAAGGATATTTAAATTGTTTCTACAACTATATAAATGAATAACCCACATTACGTCTAAATACAGTGCGATTGTAAAGTCCCTCTGCAGTGAGAAGGAAAATGGGAGGAGCTTCCGGGAACAAAACAATAACGTCACGGGTAAACTGCATGTCAAAAAGAGTTAAAGTGTCACCACTCGGGCATAACCCACCTTAGAGGGACTTCAAGATTGTACTGTATAAGCTAAATACCAAAGGATTTATCGAATTATAATTCCACAATTTTCATAAATTAAGTACTGTTATATTTTGTAGACTACATGGAGTATTGTAAATCCAGAACTGTACAAAAAATAAGAAAAGACAAAACAAAAGCTCTTATTTACAGTTGTTCAAATACGTTCGCCACAGTTCTCAATATACAAATTCGGAAGTTATATCCATGTAGCAAACATTGTCATAATACTGCAGCCATTGATACATTGATAATACACTGCTACAAATGTTCCTAATATACTAGTGCTTTTGAGTGATCCCAGAAAAAATCCAGATATAAGCAGTAGAATTATTTGGATATGTTTATTTAGTGGCCATTTCACCCCTTAGTAAATAAACACACATGCCCTACATAGTTCTTAGAAAAAGAAACGGCAAAATTTATAAAATCCGTAATACGCTTGACACTTCAAAAAATACGGTTAAAGAAATTATTGGGCCAAAGTTTTCAAATTGCAAACTTATACATTCCCACCGTCATCCATCCGTACATCCTTCATTAATCTCAAGGACAGAGTTAGTCGAAGAGCGAACCAAATACAGAAAGCTTAGGGACCAAATACTCCGACTAACTATATATGAACTTTCGATCTGGACTGGAAGTCATGTGATTTCAATTATCAATTTGTTACCTTACTGTACGGAACAATATTTGAACTCTCCCTTAATAACATTTCAAATATTTCGACAAATGATATTGAAAATATATAGCATATTTACTATAAATGTTTTATGAATTGCTTACCATTTTTACTATTGCAAAATGTGCAAAATGCACTTATGGGGGAATGAAAGTTATCATGTGACAAGAGATTTGTAATGACATGAAAGTTATACATATGGCATTGCATACAAGATCTGTAAGTCGTATGTCCCACATTTCCACTTTGCAGTACATAGCATTACTGCTTGCTCACAAGACGTTTCAGTTTTCAAACACAGTTTTTGGAAGATTTCTTTGCCAATCACCTAATCTCCCATGGAATCTAGTCCACTAGATCTCTGGGGCTCACTCCCCAGATTTTGGAGCCTCTAGGAGACATTTCCAGCATTTGCTGTAGGAGGAACTTCAATTTTCTTAAAACTTTACCAATGCACAGTAACTTTTTCGACACCTGTACATATGCATTTATTAAAGAATATTTAAGATAAAAAGACTTGATATTTTCGAGGAACTGGGAAATGAAATTCTACACAAAGTCCAAAAATTTGAGGACAAAGTTTCAATTTGGACTGCAAAGGGAGGAAAAGGATTGAGTGAATTCCTAATCAGAAAATCAAATTTTGCTTTCAGCACTCATTGATATTTAAATGAATGTATAGGCTGCCTGTTGCCAGATTTCTCACATTTGAAAGAACTATTCTCAAGCCAAATATGTCTTCTGTCCAGATAAAGCAAGTTCTCGCTATGCTAAACCTGTACTGGATTATCTGTTGAGAAATCATCATCATTGTTGAAAAGGAGAACAACCCCATTAACGCACAAGAAATTAAGCTAATGGAGAATTTTTAGGAAATACTCATGGCAGCAGCCATTTACAAAAAGCAGTGGAAGACAAAAACAGATTGGCTGATCAATCACATAAAACACTGTCTGAAAAAAACCCTAACAAAGTCTTATACAGAAAGTTGCATGCCACATCCAAAGCCGAATTGATCGCATTCGACGACAGGAACTTGTAAAATTATAAAAATAAACAAATTATTTCTAATTACAAATTTAACATGAAATAACAGCATTGCTTACCTCCGTTTTCAAAATTACAGCTGTAATCTATACTAATATTATAAAGAGGTAATGTTTGTATGTAAGTTTGGATGCAGCAGGTAATTTCCAAAACTACTCATCCGATTTCAAAAATTTTTTCACCAATATTTAGAATGGAACTTCAGGATGGACATAGGCTGTATATTATTCCGTTAAGCATGGGGGATGGACAGTTCTTTACGGTAAGCCTTCCCCGTAAGGCTTACCGTAAAGAACTCTGCTTCTATTTATACTATTTTAGATGTGGTTTTTTGCGTTTTTGATTGCATTTTAATAGAGTACGTCAACAGAATGTACACAAAGAAGGGATTTTTTCGATATTCCCCCCGGGGGAGAGGGACAGGATTAAGGCTTACTGTGAAAAACTTGGCTTCTGTTATACTATTTTAGATGCGGGTTTTTGTGCTTTTGATTGCGTTTTAATAGGGTACGTCAAGAGAATGTACACTAAGAAAAAATGTTTCGAAAAATTTTCCCCCACGGGGGAAGTGTTATACATTTATAATAGATACATTTTGAGCCACAACAAGGCGTGGCGGGGTCTGCTAGTTAATTTATAAAATTGCAGAATCGTAATCAGAAATTTCCAGATATGAATTAAATATTCCCAAACAACTATATATTTGATGATTACCATCTTATAATTCATCGATTTTAATATAAAATGATCATTAAAGTAAGTATTCTTTGCCTGTACTGTACATGACAGAGAATTTTATTTTGAAAACAAAAATTTGAGATTTTTTTAAATCAGATAACTGTTAAATATATGGAATATTAATTATAAATCAATAAAAGGAAAAATGAAATAAATACATTTTCATATATTATAGCATAAAATACAGAAAGTCTACATGAAATTTTCAAAGTTTGCAAATTTGCTTTCCGTAACAATTGCATTACAAATTGAAGACTAAATACAAATAAAAACTTGACGTCTTAATGCATCCTTTGCAACCATAATAACACAATTAACGTGATAAGAGTCACGTGTTAGTAAGAGAAGAGCCTCGGAGAAAAAGTCAACTCTGCTCATATTAACTGTGTTCCTGTGGTTGTGAAGGATGCGTGAAGACAAATTTTTATTTGTATTTAGTCTTTAATTTGCAATATTTTTAAATACAGTAGAGTCACTATAGTCCATCACTTGCCAGTATAACCCGTCCAGTAATCCAACACTCCACGGGGCAGTGCACATGAAATTTTCATATTACGACTTGTCGATGTATGCGACAGAAAGTAACTGATGTACATGTATATCATCAGTCACTAGTTTGTTGCACGTGTACTCGGTAAAATGATTGATCACAATCGTGATTAATACAATAAACTAACTTGTGAACCAACATTTCTTCTGTATAGTATGTACAGTACATACAGAATCCAGTAATCCGATATATGTTGAATTAGAGATGCTACTGTATTTCATCCTGGATTTTTTAAACATGGATAATAAAATAAACACGTAACAACAGTAAAATCATATTTGCAAAAGGTAGGTAAAGAATTTTTTTTTTCAAATAAAATTTCTAATTTTTAAATCATTTTTCCTCTTAATTATATCATCATTTAGAAATAATGTTTAAAAAATATTTAATTAAAGTGGAATATTTTGATCTAGTAAAAAAGAAATTAACAGACATTAGAAAAATAAACAAAATATACGTTAATAAGATGCAGTAGAAATATAAAAGCATGCAGTAACTGAGAATAATGACATTTATAGTAGTAATTAATACATTAAAAAAAAAGAACAATCCATAAAACCAATCAAGAAATGGTACACAGAAAAAAAAAGTGTGATCACAAAACAAAAACAGAACGTAACTTAAGATAAATCAGAAATTTTATACGTTAAGAGATCCATTTGTAGGAAGTTGATTATGTACCTGGACTACAGATTCCGCCTACTGAATTGTGACGAGGAGAACCAACATATGCTAGTCCTAATATCCCTCCATCAAACTTTTGATCAGTAAACAGATGGGCAAGACAAAACCAGCGATGATTTACATTACGAGAAAATACCTACGGAGTAACAGAGCCAAAAAGTATGCATACTATCATCATTAATTTGAATTTTATATTAATACATACATATATTTTTCTTTCCAATTTAAAAAAATAAGATGAAAATATTTAAATATGAAATTTTGAATTGTTATTGATTTATATTTTGTATCAAAGTTAGTAAATATATATGTATATATGAAAGAAAGAAACTTGAAAGAGTTAAAGTTAAAGGGGTCGGGTTAAAAAAACTAGAGTTTCTTTCTTTCATTTATATCCCTGGAATCATCTTTTCTAGTTTTGAATTAAATATACAGAGTGGGTGGAAAGTAACCAGGTGTTGAGAAATCGCTATAATTTCTACACTTTTAATGAAGAGATAATGATAATTGTGTTGACATGTGCTTTATTAAATGGAAATAGAGATGCATACCTTAAAATTCAATGCACCAACATTCCACCAACTTCCACCAGTGACATCCACCAACTTCTTCAAAGGATTGTGATGGGGTATATGGATGGATGGTCACTTCTGAGTCCACACTGAACCTGTGTGGTCATTAGCTTCAGATGACAATTATTCATTATTTCTGGTTATGTGTGGATTTGTGTCATTTCTGGATGTTCATAAATGTTTGTGGCATGACATCCCTTCACTGTATGCCACCATCTCTGCACAGCAACTAATGATTTCTGTGCCTCATAGCATGCAGCAATCTGTGTTTGCTCCTGAACAGACAAGCAATTGGCCGTCATTTGTGTCACCATGCGTGTGGCCTGTCTCAGCCACTGCCCAAATTAATGTGGGGAATTATAAAATTCCATTGATTGAAGTACATGCACACACAAATTATTATTATTATTATTATAAAAATTACATCAATTTCTCAATACCTAGTTACTTCCGATTCACTGTGTACATATAATTTTAAAAACATCATAAATAATACTTCATAATTTACATTATATGACATATAAAATGGTTTAATTATCGACAGTTTATCAAATAAAATTAAATATTGAAATTCTTCCCAAAATTTGATAAATATTCTTAAAAAATTGATTATTTTAATTTTTAATTCTTATAAACACAATATAGTAATATCAATAATAGTATGAAACAGATAACAGATATTAATTAATTCATAAGATATTTTTTAAAACAAAATAACTTTTCAGTGTTCTTACATTTATTGAGAGATTCCAGAAATCTCAAAGCATAATGCATTTATGGTCTACACACTTTAAAAACTTTCAATAATTGTGTAATAATCTTAAATAACAATTCCTAGAAATATTTAAATTCAATGTTACTATAAATGTTTAACAATTCTGAAAGCACAAGATTAGAAATTTAATAATTTGAAGAACAATCTTTTGAAATAACAAATTTAGGAATAATTAAAACCAAATCTGAATCTAAAAAAGATTATCAAATAGTTAAAGCCCAATGGAATCCAGTTCTAGATATTATGTGACATTTACGAAACCATAAAATGAAAATAAGATTAAAGTAAAACAAGTTAGGTTTATATTTAGAAGAAAATAAGAAGGGAAAGTCGGGTTACATCATAAAATCATTATTTATTTAAATATTTACAAGCTCCATCTGAAGATCCTACGAAGAGTGCAGGTTTGAGTCTCGAATCATACTGATCTTTATATAAAACTGCCTTAGATAAGTCCCAAAAGTTTTAAATAACAATATTTTTAGCTTCAAATTTAATTCTAATTTGTTTACTTAATCTTATTTCAAGAGAAGAAATTACTTCCTTGAAAGTGATTGGACATAATTCTCGAAGGTTTGCAATTAATCGTGTGTTATTTTCCAGTATAAAATTGATAAATGGAAAACAATAATTAGTATTATAATACAAATACATTCAACATCTACATATTAGATTGATAAGTATTTTGTCTATTTTCAAACCATACAAACAGACACAAACCAGTAAAACAAATTTATTAAACTTTTATATTGTTCATGCTACTATCGAAAGCAAATGGAATAAAATCTAAAGCAAAGCCTTAAGTCAAATGCTACTTAATACTATAAAGCACAGTAGCAAAAATATTTCAAAGTTAATGAAATGGAAGCTGTATTGTTTCAGGAAAGTTTAGCACAGACAAATTTTTGATATTAATTTACAGAAAAAAATAGAATAGATATTGAGCACCTGGACTACATATGCCACCTGGCTTGTGTGGATTGATGGAAGCAATATAACCTAAACCCAAAATGTTGGTATCTGTATCAAAACTTTGATGAGTAAACAAGTGACACAGACATACTGCTTCTTTACAATGAAGAGTAAAATTCTGAAAGTAAATTTCATATTAAAATAATTTTCAATCTCTAAAAAAAAGGAAATTTATGGTTATGTAAATAATAAATTCTTACGCGGTTACCAACCTCTAGAAGATCTCGTACGTTCCAAGATACGTCGGCCATGTTGTAATGTTTTTCTCCATTAACGACTGGAGATGGTTCGGTGTGTACCATAACTTCTTGGATGACGAATCCCATCCCACGAAATCCGGGTTGTTTTTCACTATCTTGCCATTCTGTTTCTAAAAATATCTTATTGACACGATCAATAAGAGAGATCTGAAAGATATTTATTGTAACTATTTCAGCCCAATTTTTATAGATTATTGTTAATTAATATTAGTTTTATAAATTAGTTTTTCAAACATTTTGTAATGCATTAATCGTTAAATCAGTAATGTGGAGTTCAATATATATAATGACAGTTTGAGCTAGTGATTATGCTTACAATTCTTCAACTAATGTCAATGTTTCTCCTTACAACATTTTTCATTCCGGTGACCAAACTATATTTTTATCATGATCTGTGGTAGGGTACGTAAACCACGTTCTTTGATCTTTTGTTGCCTTTAATCTCTTAGAAATTAGATTGAAATATATAAATAAAAAACTTATTTTTTCTTGCCTCAAACGATGTTATAAACAATATTAATGGATTAACACAATTAACTGAATAAAACAAAATAAATATTTATCAAATTATTGGGCTGCAATTTGAAAAAATTGTAGACCTATAAATTCCCACTGTCATTCCATAACGTGAATGGAATTAGATAGATGAAAGTCGAGATCTGATAAGGAAACCTTAGTAGCAGGAGACCCTGATTAATTATATAAGAACTTCCAATGCAAACTGGAAATCATGTTATTTCAATTCAAAAGTTTTCCCCTGAAAGGCATTAGATGACCAGCATAACACTATTGCTAACAGGAAAAGTATGATGTACAGGGGCAATACACTACTAATTTGATGTGGAGAGCATATTTTAATAAGTAAATTAATTAAAAATTGCAGCCAGGCATTGTGATAATGGCTCATTTTTAAAATACACACAAAAGAACAACATGAAAAATATTTGAAAACACTTTTTTAAATACAACAATGTAATTTCACAAGTTAATTTACCAAAAAATTAATGGTTCCTTTTAAATTGCTTCCTCCCATGTTTTCGTAGAACCTGTAGTCGGCTACCAACAACAATGAACAACGAGTTTGAACAGGTTCCCAATGATACGGATCGATAGCTTGCCTTTTGTTCATCTTTTTGCATTGATCACTAAGAATTTCGTCTTCATAAACTTCAGAACTATTTCCGTCTTCACGAACGTAAGAACAGAATTTAGGCCTGTAAGGATCAGGATACTTCTTACTCTGTAAACTGAAATTTTTTTGATAAATCATTCTCTAAATGATCGAACACACTATTCCTGCATAAGAATTTTTAATATACTGTGAATAATAAGTAATTCAAAATAACTATAAGAAAAAAAGTTTTCACTCACAGTAAATTTCTAAAATGTTACTTTAAAAAATACTGATCATATAAATAAATAACTAAATTATTTAAGTGTAGATACAAACCAGATATTCAAAAATAAATATTGAAGTTTCTTACGGATTTTTATCATCGTGACTAGAATCCCAGCTGAATTTGACATCGGATCCTCTGTAAATGATCATACTGGAATTATTATCTTCCAATAAATGACGCCAAGAAGGTTCTATTATGTATGTGTCTTCGGGTGTTCGTATAGCAGCGGTGATGAGTCCGTCATCAATGTGAGCAGTAACTTCAGAATTCTTTTCTCCTAAAATACACATATAAATTTACATTGTATAAAGTACATTCAAGAAAGTATAATAATACTTTATAAGATGATTTCTTGATTTTTAAACCTTTCGTAAATGTTTTATCATGTTTTAATTTGAAAAATTATTATTTAAAATGGTATGTTTAAAGAAAAGCAATGATATTTCCTATCTAAAAACAGTTATTAAAAATTTCAAAATTAGGGTTTAATTATTTTGTAACTAATAACAGATTGTGAACTATTCTTTTATTTGGAGGAGTATTAGCAAATTTATCTAGAAAATTTTTTTTATAAAGTCTTTAAATATAATTACTTCGTAAATGTTCAAACATTAATCACCAGAATACAAATTTATTTACATCAATAAAATTTTTATTGTTACTATACCATAATTCTTTACTTTTATCTTTTTATTTTGTAGTTAAATTATTCAATCCCATCTTCATAGGTTTTTGTTTGTACAAGGCAACATGACACTGGGCGATCTGCTGAGGGGGATGCCTCTCAGGACTTTCTATGGGAAACTGGTCCCTATTTAGGTGTTACAAATGTGAAGAAAACCTGGAAAACTCCACGTGGCATGCTTGTTGACAAGGCATGAACCCACAACCAACTACCAGTGTTCAGTGGTGTTATCCACTTGACCACTGATGAGAAAGTGGATATTGAATACAAATTTTACAGATATATTGAAATAATTAGAAATAATGTTCCTTTTTCTTTAATTAATTAAATAAACTTGTTCAATAAATCTCTCTCATTGTTAGGTGTATTGAGTTCACGGGTTGGATGTCACGCCAACTTATGTCAATCAAAACTTCCAAGAACGTCAGTCATAGACTGACGTTCTTGGAAGTTTTAAATCTCTCTCAAATTAAAGAACTGCCTTTGCCAAATTTTATTCACATTTAATTAATTTTCAAAACATTAAAATGAATTTTCTGAGTGACTACCTTATACATTTATAAACTGTAGTACTTTTTATAATTAATTTATTCAGTAAATTTAAAATATTATATGATTTCTAATTTAAACTATATTACTATATTCTCAAACTATAAAATTAAATAATTTCACACTAACTCTACTGTATTAATACTACATAAATGTCCAAGCCTTAAGGACGAACACAATTGCTAGTGGCAACAAATAGAAAAAGTCTCCAAGCCAGTCAGTGGCAATTTGCATAAATGCCTGACGTGACATTGTGAGTGCTGCATCATGGTTTGAGGTGGACATATTCCGTACTCTCTCTGCCTGAATTTTGGTAAGTACTTTGCATCCATCTCCACCCATGTCCGACTGCTGTATATTTTTCACCTAAGACTTATTTTATGGCTTTGATTTGTAAAATCCTACAAGTTGTTGTGTATTTTCCATGTTAGATGTCAAGTAATACAGTTCTTGCCATATTTGTTGGCATTAGTCTACAGTTCTCTCCGTTCGTGTACAAATGTCATCCATCCTTAAGTTTTGGATAGGTATATTTAATCATTTTAAATGGAATATACTACACTAACCAAATACTCTTCCCTCAAAGAACTGATTTTTATCAACCCAAACTGGTTGCTTATTACCAAGTCCATCCACAGTGTATGCTTTAAATCTAGACGATAAAAGACCTTGAGTAGGATTTAGAATCAAACGAAAATATCTGAAATTAAGAAAAAATATACATAATTTTAATAAAAAGTAATATATAAAATGCTTTTAAGTTCCAATTTCTTACCTGCCAAGTGCTTTAAAAGACACTTCTTTAATTGTGTTGTATCGGTGGTAACTGGGATGGATGCCTCTTTTAGTGATCGTATGACTAACATCAGCCGCATCGAGAAGTTCAAAATATTTGAGCTGTGCATTACTTAAAGCTAGAACGAATGGAAAAGAAAAGTAAATTATTAAAATTATTTCAAAGTTTAGCACTAATGACCTGTTTTCATTTAAATTATATTTCATAAATTTAGAGTTGAGAGTAAAGATTTAACAAGACAGCCAATGAAAATGAAAATAAGTTTTATAGATGTACTGTATATTAAAAGAGACCTTTGGGAGTTATCAAAATTTACACACAAAAAAGGAGAAGAAAAGAGAACGATTTGAAAACATAAGAGACTAGTAAGAAGACAAACAATCGCGCATTAAAATACAGCAATCATTTGTCTTCTTATTAATAAACATTGGACGCTGAGATGGTCATAGATACATAAGATACTAGACAAGCAAATTTGTTTAAAACTTAAAAATTTATTTAATCTTTTCTTTGTTACTTTGTAAAATCAAACAACTGTAAGAACGTTTCATTTTTTCCTTTCTCACCTTCAAGTCAGCAATGAATTACTGATTAATTTGCTTATTTTCATCAGGATTCAGTTATAATCCTCATTCCTTTATGTAAATAAACAAAAGATTATCTTTTTGAGTATCAATCTCGACAATATTACACTCGTTATCAGTTGTTACAAAGTCTTAATCAGTGCATTAAACATTAAATATTAATCAATTTAAATTATTTGTCGACAATACATTAGTTTAAATTATCGGCATTTCTTATTTCAATTACATTCTAGCTGTTAATAATGATGTAAAAATTAGCAGGTAAACAATGATGGATGGATTATTATTAATTTATGATGCTAAATTAATAAATCACATTATGCAATTTTTATTGATTTGACACCTGTTTTTCAATGTCAGAATAGCTGTAGCTGTAGTCTTATTTATGTACTCCACTTATTGTTGATTAATTGCTTATTATTATTAGTTTAGGTGAATCTCAGAAGGTGCATCTAAATGACAAGCAGCTAAGTTAGCAAGCATTAAGGATCAATTACATTGGCTGAGCTTAGTAGCTACTGGTTGATGAATTTACTTGCCACTATGAAACTCATTCGATGTAATTACCTCGGCTAGTAAACTCTCTCAACGATTTATTCAAGTGAATAAAGTTGAAGATGGGCTACTTTTGTCATTAACTGCTTGCAATTTTACTTTAGGAAACTCGCTCTGTGTAATTAAGTGTAGCAAGTAACACACAGTATGGAAGTAGCATGAGTGGAAATTATACTGGTTGTTTCTATTCTAACAAAAATAAAAAAAAAATGCTTGGAAAAAGATCTGTAGACTCATTTTTCTATGGCTGCTAAAATTTAAAGAGTGCATAAAATAATTATTTTTGATAAAAACTTAGTTATTTTTGGATTAATTTTGCACCATTATGCCAATTAAACAGGCTAAAAATCACCATGTGTAGCAGAATTATACCACTGCTGGCAACAAGGCAGTATTGTGTATTTGCTACAAATGAGTAATAAACAAATTTATTAGTCCAGTATAACTAGTTATTTGACAGCATGCAAACTCACCAGAGTGAGTTTGCATGCTGTCAAATAACTAGCAAACAAACCCAATGTAATTGAGCCCTTACCTGCTTGTCATTTAGATGCACACAAAGTAAATTGTACTGTTAGAAATTTTGGTACAAGTTAAGGAAAGAATGTCTACTTTTTTAATTACTTAGGGGGTAACTAGGTAAAATGCGATGAGAAGTGGTGATTCTGGGATGATTTGGGTGAGGTAGGGCATTTTCACGTGTTTTTTTCCGACATGGTTATAGGAGTCAAGTCTGAATGTTATTTTATGTTTCTGGGTTTTAATTTTAGTTATAATTTAGTCTGGGACATTTTGTTTTGTTTAAAGGATGAAAGTTTCTACACCTCCCAGTTTTTAAATTCAAAAAGGCAAAAGTTACTTACATGACCATCACTTGTGAGAAACATCGTCGCTAATCTAAAACGACATCTTGGATTAAGCAATCGCCAAAGGGAGTTAAAGAACAGTCATTTAATCACATTGTTACCAATTTTAAAATAGAGCAAAAAAATTTTATGAAAAGATTGGACTGATTCTTGTCATAAACAAATTGCAAATAATTAAAACTGTTACCAAGTATGTACGTAAACGGAGTAGAGTGGTATGTGCTAATGTGATGTCACATTTGGGACATATAAAGCAACAATGAAGCTACCAAGTGAAAGCAAGTGCGAAGTGTCTTTTATGTCTTGATATGATTCACTAAACAAACATTTTTCTAGTTTTTTATTGTTTGCCTCTTAAAGTTCAGGCGTGGCAATTATCTGAACCCATTTTTCATTTATGTAACACCATTCGTAGGATTTAATTCTGGGCAGATTAAATAGTGCATTGCAAGATTGGCATTTTTGTGTTTGTCTAGCCCATCAGCTTTGAGTAGCTCACTTGAGTGTCTGCGGAGTACTTAACGTTATATAGTTGATACAGCAAGCACCTGTGCACTTTGGTGCTCGCTGTCACTCACATCTCAGTGCATGACTACATGCAGAGTGGAGATTAAGGAGAGTGACTGCAAACCTTGACAAACATGGAGCATAGACAATAGTAGTAGCATTGGTTCACACAAAAATGTCCTTCCTCATACAAAATTGCCCCAGAACCACCACCACTCATCACATGTCATTTACTTACCCCTAAGTAATAGGGCCAAAACAACTGCCCCTGCAGACCCCACCAGGGTACCCAGAAATATTTGGGGCCCACAACTGAAAGATATTTTTAAATTGACAATAAAGTATATATAAGATTTAATTCAGAACCTTCTGTAAAGAATAAATTTTGAGAACCATGGCTTTATGCTGTTGATGATAAATATAAAACACACAACCAAAAATCTAGCTCGTGAAACAGAAAACGATAGAGAAAAACAAACGTTTAAATGTAAAACAGACATTTGGATAAGTTGGAAACTCAAGTAAAGTACGTTTATTGCACTTAATTATATGCTTAAATACAAATATAAAAACAAAGAAATGAACAAAATACAATGACTTAAAGCTATTCATGACACACAAAAGAATGACCATTATCTCTCACCTCCAATCCCAACACATGATCAGAATGTCATAGTAGGAATGATGGCATCCAGACCCAATAAAGTAAAATGACAACCATACATACAATTAGAACCGCAGTGGAACAAATAACAAACCATCTGCACAAAACATCTTCATACACATATTCTAACATTGTAACATATGTATTAAAACATTCTAACACTGCCCCAAGTGAAAGTTGCTTGATGTTTTCTTAAGATGAGCTGAATATGGTTAGGCACATCAGCTAATTAGAAATAAGTAAAAAGTAAACAAAACAAAATTATATTTATTAATATATATAAACAGGCCCCTCTAAAAACTACTTTGGATTGTACAGGTAGCCCTTGGTTTACGCCGGCTCAATTTACACTGATTTACAATAATGCTGCTGCACAATTTGCCATTTTGCGGTGTAATTCCCCAATTTTCCCTATGCTAGGCACTGATTTTCATTTTAGTGTTGACGTATTTACTGAGCCACGACATTGTACATTCATTAAAACAAAGATTTTTATTGAATATTTTTATTTTTTCTGTTTATTATTATTGGGTATGTATACATTTGCATTAAATTAATATTAAAATACTAAATGTTTAGGTGCCTACGAGTCAAGTTATTAAACTTAATAGTCCAATAAATGGCGTCCGAATCCATAGCACCAATGAATGTATCCCGTATCAGTTCATTCAGGAAAACACCTTACGACGCAGTAGCACTTCCGGCAATCACAAACTATCATTAGTGAGACAAATCTACTTCTCGCTGGCCAGACGATACTTTTTTATTAGCCAGACGATGTCTATTTCTTGTCAGTCAGACGATATCTCTCTCTGCTTAGCCACCTTGAATTTTCCCGCTCAAACTGACCTTATACATGCGCTACAGCAACTGGTGGTCAACCAATCAGTTCTCTACTCGTCTGTAGCTCTACATCGAGTTAACATATCCTTTCAACTATGGAAAGTTTGACGGATGAACTTTGTGAGTTAGACAATGATTGGGAGTGAAATGCAAATGTAAAAAAAAAAAATCATCATCACATCCATTCAACCATATTCCGAAATTCTCAATGAAAGAAAACAAGTGTAAACAATTAATTAAAGATGGATACTTTTTCCGAAAAATGTAAGAGATCCGAAACTAAAATTTTTTAATAAAAACATTTCACTTTATTTTATGATAAAATATATTTTAAAAATTAAAATTTATTTGTATTTTGTATTATATTGTATTAATAAACAAAATTATTTGCGTATTTTTCACTTATGTAGAACCTAACCCTATACCTCAGTGTAAATATGAGTTCATTTTACGCCGATTCGATTTGCACTGGCTTTTGTACAAATGGAACTGCGGCATAAACCGAGGGCTACCTGTATTTGCACGTCCGAATACTTCAAAGATCAACTCAAGATTTGCTCCTGAATCTGTAATACAGTCGACCCCCCTATAACGTACGTTCCTATAACGACAATTCCTATAACGTAGCGAAAAAATTGTAGAAACTTTCGTATAACGTACCTCCTATAACGTCGTTTCGCGACAAGATTGATAGAGTCTGGACCAATAGTGGATGAGCAGCCGAACTACTTTCCTCCGACCCTGCGCCACGCTACGGAGCGGCTAAATTGAGTTTGCTATCGTCTGTTTAGTATTATATATAAATTATATATAAATTAGGTACTGTACATATAATTATATATTAATTATATATAAATTAGGTACTGTATATATAATTATATATTAACTTAATTTATTGTAACTTTATTATAATTATATATATGCTTTCTGCCGCCTGGCAACACGCTACGGAGATTTTAGGCTAGTAAGTTGAGTTTATTATCGTCTGTACAGTATGTAAATTAGGTACCGTAAGTCTAATACAGCACTAATTTTATACATTTCTTGTGAAAGAAACACTTCTTATTCAACGGCCATAAAAATTATTTATATTAATGAT